AGTTATTCCCATGGTTTGTGCCAAGGAATGGTTAGTGTGCCATGAGGAAATAAAAGCAAGCAAAGGCTTTTCTGAGCTGACATACCAGCTAGAAAGAAGGCTTCCCACTGCTTCTGTATTTGCCTCACTGGTCATTTTTTAAAAAACTTTGATTTACGAAGACAGCTCCCAGTTGTGATATAGGGAAACTGGCAGAATTTTCTAGAGTAACAAACTGACTCTGCAATAAAGTGTTGCAGTGTTCCAGTAAGCAAACCAGTTCCTTTTCCTGGATACTCCATCCCTTCCTTCTCAATTTTCCCACCTCCCAATATTATTTATTTATTTATTTTATACCACTTTTCTCCCACAGATGGGCCTCAAAGTGATGAACAAATGATTAAGAAACAGAAATTACATAATACAAGAGCATAACATCATTCCCTCAACCCAACAAGTAAACAATAAGCAAACACATTGCATAAACACATTACATAAACAATATAAAATAAGCATAATAAAGAATGCAATTTTTCATTATTGTTAAAAATCCCTGGGCCATAGGCCATGGAGGTTGTCCTTCAAACTTTATACTAAAAAACCTCAAGGCTCCAAATCTTGGCCATGCAATTCTTGCTAGACTGAGATAACCTTCCGCAATGTGTGTTGGCAATAATCACTAGCTTCCTAGTCATAGCTTATTGCAGGTTGTCGGGGAAGGCCTGCTTCCACAGAAAAGCTTTAACCTGGGAGCAAAAGGCCATTAACAAGGGGGTCGAGTGTGCCCCCTTGAAGGTCCTCTCTCTCATTCCCACTAAGCGTGATGGTGGTGGGACCGAGTGAAGGGCCTCTCCTAATTATCTCAGGACTCATGTGGGCTGATAGGAGGATAGGGGACAGCTCCATGTAAAGTTCATTACAGTAGTCTAGCCTGCATTCAGCATTCATATGCACTAAACTCCACAGACTTCAAATGATTCCCTGTCAACTAACCCTGTACCAAACATATATCCTTTTTCCCTCTGCTTTTTATCCTACTTCTGCAAGCCATTTGGGTTTTCACGAGCCTTTGTTTATACAGGGTGCTGTTGCCACTCCTCCACACTGCACAATTATAGCACTACAATTCTACTTTGGTTGCCATGGGTCCATCCAATTTAGTCCTGAGATTTGGAGTTTGAGACGAGAAATCTAGAATTTGCAGCCAGGGTTCTCTAGTGCTTCTTGGGACAAAAGATAAGATAATACCATGTCCTTATTCCACCTATACAAGCTACACAATCTTTGTTCAATGTTGGTATGTGGACAGCAGGCTATTTTGATATGATGCAGTTGTCCTCTAATAGTGTGGAAGGGCTATAGAGGACTTCTACCACATTGCCTATTTTTTGCTGCCTGAAAGAGCTGCTTCACTTTGCTCTGTGACCAGACCATCCCCACCTTCATTCTTCAAAAGATTCTACAGTAAGAGTCCATAATATGTGACAATGTGTATGAACTGAAGTCATGAACTATTACCCCATACCTAAACTGTTTAGCAAGTAGTGAAAGTTTTAGAGCAATGACTGTTTTTTTTTTTTTGCAGGGGATTCTTTATGCTTTTCCTGCATGACAGAGGGTTGGACTAGATGGCCCATGTGATCTCTTCCAGTTCTATTATTCTATAGTTCTAAGACATTTTGGAGGAGAAAGGGCGGAATATATCATATACACATTATTATTATTATTATTATTATTATTATTATTATTATTATTATTATTATTGCTACTGGATGGCAATAAAAGTATATACAGGTAGGTAGTGTTTCCTGAAACTATAGAATCATAGAGCTGGAAGAAACCACATGGGCCATCTAGTCCAACCCCCTTCCATGCAGGAAAAGCACAATCCAAGTACTCCTGACAGATGAAACTAAGTATTTTAAGCCTGCAGAACAGAAGGTTGATAGCCATTTGTAAATACGTGAAAGGGTATCATAAGGAAGACACTGCCCTGGAAACTAGAACTCAGAGCAATGGGTTCAAATTACAAGACCCATCTGTTAAAAGATCTTTCTTAGCAGTCTGGTCAGTTCTCCAAAACCAGCCTGAATTAAACTTTAATGAAGTTGTCAGGTTCAGACCTATGGTTGGTGTCTGTCTTCTCTTTCTTGGCCACAATCCCTTAGCAAAGGTACTCATAAAATATAATGTCAGAAAAGCCACCGTTGTTTAATAGTGAAACTCTGCTGTGGTTCAATCACAGAAAACTGCTGTATTATCTTCTAATTTAACATAAGGTTCACACAGAACGACAAAGGAGCTAGCAGGGCTTGCTAAGACTACTCTTCCCAGAATCCTTTGTGACATAGACAGAACTTTTTGGATCCTGCTCAAGTCAATGTTGAAAATTCACAGAAGTGTAATCCTTTGAAAAGCATTGTTGTGGTGATAGACTTCATGTCAAATTCATAGCTGTATGTGAAATCGATAACTTTCAAAATGCTCTTCTGCACATCAAACTGAGGAAATGCAAATTTAATTTCAGCAGGTTATCAGATTTCTATCTTTATCATATCAACTATTTTACATAGCTGAAGAAACTGAAAGAAAGTTTCAGTTAACACTACTAACTTAACTGTCTTAGTCTGAATGCTGGTAGTATTTGCCGCCACCACCTCAGAATTCACTGGCCTGAGGAACCAAAAGGGTGTGAAGGTATTTAGGTAAAGGGGGTTTGAGCTCTTGGTCTTCTATGTCTTCCTCCCTAGCTGACTGGACTTTAAAATGAGTTGAGAGAATGAGTTCTGAGGGAAACGAATGGATTGAGGCATACACCAGTTAACAGTAAACTAAGAAAGAGTTTATTTAAACTTGATATTAACAACAACTCGTTGGAAATGAGTGGTACAGAATCTTGATGCAGTTGCAGTAACTTGGTTGCTTAAACAAACAGTTCCCCTGACAGAATAGCTTTTTCAGCTGTGAGTCCCTTTAACAAACTGTTCTACTTTTAGACACAGTTTCTCTTAGAGCACAGACTCCAGTCTGCCTCACTCACTGGGCTATAAGGTATCTTTAAACCTCTCTTAAGTTTAATAAGACACAGCTCTCTTTTACTAGTCCTCTCAACGTAGTAAAACTCTAGCCTAATGTCTTCACCTTATTCCCAAACCTAGAGGCTCACTAAAAGCTCTTCTTCTCCTGTCAGTTCCCTGCTGTAACTTCCTCTCTAAAAATCCACACCCTTCTCTGTCTCTATCTAAGACTCTTCTCTCTTTTGTGTCAAAACTGGCAGCTTATTTTCCCTCTCTAAGCTGACTCCTCCCCCAATTGCTACACCCAATCAGGAGTCAGCCTGACTCCTCCTCCTGCTCTGCTTGACTACCAAGATGCCAGCCACTGCCATGAAGGCTTCGGCCTAGCCGACTAAAAGGTAGATCTATTACACTGGTTTAGTCCCAAATAGAGTAAAACCATTGAATCAGTTAGCTTTACAGACATATTATTCGATATTATTCAATAGGCATATTTTAGTTGTAACTAAACAACAGTGTTCTACTAGTTTGCATATTGTGAATCTAAATAAATAAAAATGTAATGTTTGTTTGTGGGATTAACATAACTCAAAAACCCACTGGACCAATTACCGCCAAATTTGGCCACAAGACACCTACTAACCCAAGGAGTGACCATCACTTAAAAAAGATTGATTTTGTCATTTGGGAGTTGTCATTGGTGGGATTAATAGTTCACCTACAATCAAAGAGCATTTTGAACTCCACCAATGATGGAATTGAACTAAACATAGCACATAGGACTCCCATGACCAACAGAAAACACTAGAAGGGTTTGGTGGGCATTTACCTTGAATTTGGGAGTTGTAATTTACCTACATCCAGAGAGCACTGTGGACTCAAACAATGATGGATCTGGACCAAACTTGGCACAAATATTCCATATGCTCAAATATGAACACAGATGGAGTTTGAAGAAAATAGACATTCACATTTGGGAGTTGTGGTTACTGGGCTCTATAGTTCACCTACAATCAAAGAGCATTCTGAACCCCACCAATGACAGAATTGGGGCAAACTTCCCACACATTACCCCCCCATGACCAACAGAAAATAATTAAGGCCATCCAGTCCAACTCCCTTCACCAGGGCAAGAAAACATAATCAAAGTCCTCCTGACCAAGAGCCATCCAGCCATAGATATAGATAGATATGATTCACACATAGAGAGATATAGATTTGAAAGGGACCCCTAAAGTAGGACAATTATATGTTGCATGTTCCAGAGTAGGCAAACCAGACAATCTCCACGTCAACACTGACAAAGAAGCAGCAAGAAATACTGTTTACCCAAAAGCATAAAGAAATTACATATATTAGAAACCAACACTTTTTCATTACTTTATTTTCCAGATCACTAGACTGGGCCACAGCAACACGTGGCAAGGGATGGCTAGTAAATAATACAATTATATTTTACAAAATGCCTCCCTTCTTTATTCCTTTTTTTGATTAGATGAGAATTAAGTGCCCAGCCTCCCAAACTGCATTGATACAGTTCCTTTACATAGATATCTGGAGATACTATTGATATTTAATTTGCTGAATATTCCACAACTTTGAGGAGGCTTTTAACTGAAAGAGAAGAAAAAAAACCCATACAAAATATAATGTAAATCCCATAAAATATCAAAAAATAGGCATATACAGCAATTTAACTGTTTATTTTATAAATAAACTGCAGTAAGGTAAGTGTTTCCATAATTAGTGCAAAGATTTTGTAGTTTTGTTTTGTTTTTTAATACCACAGGTAGCCACAAAAGAAGAATATAATGAAGGCAATGGTGTTGTGAGGATAGAAAACCAAAGGCCCCCTTAGCAGCATTTGCCGAAAGACCGTGAAACATTGTATGGGAGATCTACCTGATTCTTAAGTAATTAAGTAATATTGATAATCATCTATAAAGGCAGGGGGAAGGCACAACTCTGGATTCTTAGATTAACTACCTGAATCACTGGATCGCCATGTAACACAGTTACAAACAATGCTAGGAATTGATCCCTATAGAAAAGGTAAGAAATTTGGGCTCTTGGCCCATATTTCTGTTATACATCTGAAATTGATGTGATTCATTCACTCAGTTTTTCTAAAGGTTCAAAACAATACCACTGCTAGATTCCAGTGTTTTCTCTGTCATCTTTCCTCCTTTTCCCAGACTTGATTGGTGGATCATTATTTTTTAGTCTTAAAATGCAGTAACAACTCCAGCCTATTTCAGTCTAGATTGGCACCATCTCTTGAGTCCTTTGTTTGTCAATTTTATGGAACTAAATGTTGAGGTTGTCTGAAACATCCCTTTGAAACCTAGAAGAAAACAGACATAATTTTACAGCCATATGACATTTCCTCCTTTTGCTTCTTTAATATTTATTTATTTATTGAAATAGACAAACATTTGTATGTGTTTGTTGCATACAGTGCAATATTTTCCAGCTATTCGTGTTCCATAATCATTTCTCAGATGAGAAACATCTGGAGAGAATGCTTCTGGAACATTGTCATCATTGCCCGGAAAACTTACAGCAACCCATTTCTCAGATCTTTTCTTTAAGGGGCCACAGTCTTCTATGTGAATAGTACATATAAAGGCATCATAGGCTCTAAATTAGTATTACTTCCTCCTTGTCTATAGTCTTATAGGATCCCCTATGTACATTTTTAGTTTAATTTTACATTGAGATGCTGGATCATTGGTTGCCATTCATTAACAAACTTCTCCAGCAGCTCTCCTCTCAAGAGTACAGTTATTTTGTCAATTATTGGCAAATGTATAATGTTTTCTTCCCCATTCTTCTAAGGGTGGTCCATCTGAGGTTTTCCAATATCTAGCATATACTATTCGGGTTGCCACTGTCATATAAAACACATTTTTTTCCAAATTTCCTTTCTAGTTCTTCATTAGGCATGTTCAAAAGGTACATTTGTGGAGTCATTTTGAAATTTGTGTTCAACATCTGTTTGAGATATACATTAATCTATTTCCAGTAGTTTTTTACTTTGTTGCACGTCCACCACATGTGATAAAAATGTGCCCTTTTCTTTACCACATTTCCAACGTTTGTCAGTGCAATTGTACATCTTTGCTAGTCTCTCTGAAGGGAGATACCAATGTAGATGCATTCTGTAGACATTTTCTTTTACATTCTGACATGCCGTGGATTTTATTCTTTTCTTTCATGTATTTTCCGATTGAGCCATTTTTATCTCTTGTCCTATGTTCTGAGCCCACCTAACCATCGAATCATTTACTACTCTCTCTTCCATGTGCCAAGTCAGTAGATTTTTGTATATCTATGATATAAGTTCTTTTGGCTTCTGGAACATCACCACATTGAACCATGTTTTCGCAGTCTAGACCCCCTTTTCGCTTCTAAATTAGTTTTATCTTCACTTATAAATAATTCTTTCCTTGTCAAAGGATAGTCTTACAGCCCCAATCAATCCTCTTGACAAACAAAATCACAATCTGTCTTTATATCAACCTTATTTTTCACATTTTCCATTTTCTTCTGTTTTTCACATATGCTTGAGCACATCCCTGACAGATTATTGTCAAGATACTAACTTTTTATTGTGGTCACCACTTCTCACTTGAATATTGCTGAATGCTTCTTTCTTGTGAGAAAGGCATTGTCTGAACAATATATTTCTTGCCCCACAACCTGTTTTTGAGGAGCTTTGTGATCTGCACTTTGAAGATAACTAAAATTCTCTAAAACGAAATAACTTTCTTATAGCAGCTTTAAAATAAACAACAGTAATTTGAAAGTAAAGTGCAAGGTCAGAGTTCTCCCAGAACAATGCATCCTGGCTGGGAGGTGTTGCTACTGTCTGGAAAAGATCCCATTTCCATTGTTCATAGGAAACTATTTTTGAAAGCCGAAAAGTCAGTTTGGAGAGGACAGTTTTATCAACAGAACTTCTGAATTGTGATTTCTACTCCAAAAACAGAGAGAATGAATGAATTTGAAACTTCTAATGACTTTACAAGTAGTTTAAAATATTCAAATTAAGCAGACGGAGGGCATGATATAGTGGTTTGAGCATTGAGACTAGGACTCTGGAGACCAGGTTCAAATCCTCACTCAGCTATGGAAACTCACTTACTGACTTTGGACAAATCACATTCTCACAAGCTCAAAGAAAGGGAAAGTCAACCCTCTCTGAAAAAAATCTTGCCAAAGAAATCCTGCAATGGGGTCACTTCAAAGTTATTATTAGCCGGAAATGAATTGAAAGTGCACAAGAACAGGCATGCATGTGCAATATTATTATCTTATCAGTGTCTCCCACTTGAAGAAGAAACCAACCCTTACATGGCTGTTAAAGCTGTATATACATAAAAGTAAAACCAATTAAATGCAGCGTGTAAACATTCTGACTTGATTTTGACATTAGATATCTCCTTCCATTCTCTCTTTTGGGGGGGGGCACATTTTTGTGGGGAAAATACAGAATTCCCAACTCAAAGAGGTCCATAAGACATTTCTACATCTATGATTATCTAGACACCTTGGATGTCTGTTAATCAATGTGCACTGTGCATCACAAAACAATACAGCATAAGAGCCCATCTTGAGAAATGTAAGGCAGGCCTCTGTTAACATGGTAAGAATGGGGAGATCAAATAATTAACTTGAAATCTGGGAAAAACAGTATTGACAAAAATATAAATATGACATTAATCATTAACATAAAGCAGAATTTTGCCATCATATTCATCCACATTGAGTTCATATTCTGCAATTCAGAATATTGCCATTAAAAACACACTTGAAATAGTCTTAAAATAATGTGTTCTTTTCATTGAAAATTGATTTTATGAAAATCAGTATTTATCATAACGATTAAGATTTCGCATTATCTTAGGAAGGAAAGCTTCTGCCCTCAAATTCATGAATTTCTGATATTGTCTGACTTTGGGAGCTTATCAGGGTTTAGAATGAGTTGTACTTAGGTAGAAGATCATAAGAAAATGACAGAAATCTCAAGTTAGGACTAGAAAGAAATGCAATGTAGAATTCCAGAAAGATACTACTGGGTAGAGTGCACACTACTGGTCAACATGGATTAGTAGTTTGACTCAGTATAATGGTAATTTCAACATTATAATTCCACTGTAACTCTTGTGGCTGCATCATGTGGAAATTCTCTCCCTAAACACAAACCCCAGAATTCCTTAGGATGTTAACATGGCAGTTAAACTATAGCTGCAGGGCCAATGTTGGTTAGAGTGAAAGGCTGTTATTCATACATTCTCAATTTATAAGCTTTGGAGTGGAGGGCTTCATCACTAACAACAGGCAGCTACTCTGTCCCTTTTCCCTCTTAACATTTTTTTCTGGTGAGAAAAAAGAGGGAGGAAGCAGTGGGAAAAAAGGCTAGATAATGAAGCTTGCTTTCTAGATTTCCCACAAAATTCAGTAAATGAGGCTCAGTAGTAGCCTTATCTGGAAGCACTTCACAAGAGATGTTCTGTTTGCCCAAAGATAACATGAACTCATACAATGGCTAATATGAGACTTGTATTCCTCTAATGTTTCTCCAAGAAATGAAAATGAGACTGGGAGTTTAGAATGCATCCAAGGCAAGGTTTAATCTGCATTTGAACAGCACCATAGCATACTATTTTTTCAGAAAAAAAGTATCCTTCTGTAGTCTTGTATATATGTATCCTTCTGTAGTCTTGTATATATAAAGTTTGTATATATAAAGTATCCTTCTGTAGTCTTGTATATATATATACCTATATATGTATATATATAGGTGATGGGCTGTTTCTCCATTACCTTTTAAAATCTTTGATCAGCAAGCTTTGAAAACATAAGTAAACATTAGAGAATTGGAATTCTTCTAAGTATCTGTTTCCTTTGTTTGATAACGGAAGCTGGTATTACTGGCATTATTATTCTTTCTTCTGGTATTTAACTTCAAGATAAGAATTCACAGGAAAACACTCCTGCCTACCCATTAATTTAATATGACCTCCTGGTTTCAAGCAGGATGTTCTTCTACAGAAAACATTGTGCCACTGATTAAAAGAAAACTCAGTGCTGGGAAGATAGCCTAGCCCAAATTGAGGAATGCACAGTCAAAAAATATTATTCCTCCCCAATATTTTTAAAGGAGATCTTTGTATTCTGATGATTGTCCAGCTATACCCTGTTATGGAAAGCAACATTTCAAATGTGTATGTATGTGTTTAAAATTGTTTACTTTCAAATATAAACCACATGTTTTAATGAAAAAATATTTGATTGAAAGATATTTTATCTAATCCTGAAGACTATAGGGGCTTTTAGTTTGCTTTCAATGCATTTTATCATATTTTTGTCATTTTTAAACAGCTTTATTTATAAAATAAGTGAGTCAATCATAGGGTTTTATATGGCTAAGGTTACCCAGTGGATTTCTGTGATCAGGCAAGGAATCCAGCTTTGGTTTCCAGGATCACAGTCCAATGCTCGAATTCTACATCACACTGGTTCTCAATCATAGTGGCCTATATATCAAATTATGTGGTTTCTTAGAAAGATCTACGACCTCTTCACATGGCCCTTTGGAGCAGTGCCATTTCACCAGCAGTTGCTGGAGAAGAGAAGCACCCCGTGCACTCTCCCTCCTTCCCCCATCATTCAGTGGAGACAGGACAGAGGTTGTGCTGGCACCTTGTCCCTATCCCCATCAGATGGGAGAAAAGTCAGCAACACACGTTGCCCCACCACCCTTTCCCCCATCATACAGGGAAAAGATCAGACAGCTCCATCAGAGCTACCCAAAACACACTTTCCTCCATATAGTGTGGAGCAAGTGCCTTTTGGAGCGTCCCCTCCACTTTTGGAGGAATGTGGGCAGGACCTGCCATGCATTGTGTGCATGGCGGGGCCCATCCTTGCCACTAATAAAAGCGGCAAAACAGGGTTAAAATGTCCCATGTGAAGAGGTCCCTAGAGAAGATTCAAGCCCATAATATTATGTCTCTAGCAGTATACTGATTAACCTCTATTTCCATTATTTAGTAAGCCTGTTGGCTCATCTACACAAACATAACCTAGATTCACCCTGAGTTCTCCCCTGGCTGTCACCACAATATTTTGCTACTTCCAGTAACTATTCTGGGTTAAACCATTTTGATCCAGTTTATTCTCATTATTGGAAAATCTGGGGATATGACTACAAGACAACATGGGCAGCAGGATTGGGTACATTTCAAACTAGTCCACTGTCTTCATGGGACATTGCCACAATCCTCTTCTCTCTGTGCTGATGAGGAAAGGGGGATAGATTGCACTTGTGTTGATGTTGCCCTTCTCTTAGCCAACTGCAGGTTACCATGTGAGTTCCGGCCATCATGGCTGCTCTATGATAACATCAGCAGATGCAGCATAGAATCAGGAAGAAAATGGAAAGATTGGTTCTTTCATTCAGGAGAGAAGGAATTTCACAACAAAGGTGTCACTACAGAAAGGTTGCTCTCCCTTATCCTACCACAAGGTGTTTCTCCTATTGATGGGACACAGATAAGGATCCCTCCAATAGATTTCTATACTTGGGCATGCATATATAGATAGGGGAAGGTGTTCTTTCCAAGTACCGAGGTCTCAAACCATCCAGGGTTTTAAATGTAATTGTTTGCCAGATTTTCTGAATTGTTTCCCCTTCTTTTTCAGCAGTTCATCCCAGCAGCAAGGTTCTTCTTGGGCTTGGTAGAATACAAGGGTAAGTGAAGAGCCTTCTGTGTCCCACTGAAAAGATGGAGGAGATCATAGGAGATCAAAGGACCAGGCTGTGGCGCAGCTAGTTAGCAGCAAGCTGCATTAAATCACTACTGACCGAGAGATCATGAGTTTGAAGGCAGTCTGGGTCGGAGTAAGCTCCCAACCATTAATAGTCTAGTTTGCTGTTGACCTATGCAGTCTGAAAGACAGTTGCTTCTGTCAAGTAGGAAATTTAGGTACCGCTTTATGCAGGAAGGCTAATTTAACTAATTTACGATGCCATAAAACATTCCAGCAGTGTACAGAAGAATGAGGAAGTACGCCATCAAAGGACCCGGTGTCACAAATGGATAGTGACAGCTCCCCTGTGGCCAGAACCAAGCATACCCTCATGAAGCCAGAAAAGATGGAATGTTAAATTGCCTCTATGTCTATCTATATATGTTGTATGTCTAAATGGCATTGAATGTTTGCCATGTATATGTGCATTGTAATCCACCCTGAGTCCCCTGCAGGGTGAGAAGATGGGAATATAAATACTGTAAATAAATAAATAAATAAATAAATAAAATCATTTAGTATGTTATATTCAATATCTGATGCAGTGTTTTACATATAACATTCATATCCATATATCTACTCCTCTTTCCTGTCTCCATGTCTACACCTAGCCCTGGTTGGTTTTGTTTTACAAGATTCTCCCCTTTATTTGCTCACATGCATACATTTTTGTGCAGCTATTTTAAATTCTATACATTGCTTGAGCATTCCTCTATTTATTTAAATAACTTACCATTGTGATTTGTATCCTCAACTGATATATCTAATTTATAGGAAGGACCATAGTCATTATCGACAGAAGGATTAGAACGGCATGATTTTGATGACTGTGACCTACAAGGAGGGAAGAAAATGATGCCTCAGGTGGCAATACAAACAGATAATTCTGTACCTATGTAGTAACCATTTCAACCCAAAATATCAGAGCTCTTCAGCCTGTACAAGATACACAAAACAAACATATGCAGATATGGTGATTTGCAAAATTTATTATGCTTTGGCAGGCTACCATATAGAGTATTAACTTCCATCAGTTTTCCCCCTAATTCATTCTCTAGCTTCTGACTGTTTCTCAAAGTTTGCAATTGAACTTCCATTTAAAAGCAAAAGTTCTATTCTGCACATAATTCTGCCTGCCTAATCTTTTATCTGTTTGCTTTAGAATATCAGTACGCCCAAAATTTAAGAAGAATAAAGTGTTATTCTAAAGAAAGGTAACTATGTTTATTATTTTTAATGCAACACAGTTGTAAAATTAATAATAACAACAACAACAACAACAACAACAACAATAATAATAATAATAATCTTTACTTATACCCCACCACCACCTCCCCAAAGGGGACTCGGGGCAGCTAACATGAGGCCAAACCCAAAATTACAGTACAACATGATAAAATACAAAGAAGCAAAATACCATCAAAATAAATAAATGAAATAACAAAATAAAATAAACAGTTTCAGAATAACATGATAGAGAAATAGAACACAGAGCGGGCCAAAATAAGCATTTTATGATATCTTCCTAGATAATAAAAGATAAGCAATAAAGGAAACTCATCTCTAAAATATCAGACTATCTGGATATGTGAAAGACCAGCTCCTTTCATCTGAGCTTGCCTGAAATTTGAGATCCTTAGCCAAGGACTGGTTGCACAAGTAACAGTCAGAGCTTTCTCTGTAGCATCATCTTAATTATGGAATTCTTTACCAAAGGAAATTAGGATCACTCCGTTATTTTTGAGCTCCCAGAAATCAGCTAAAATGGGGTCATTCGACATTTCCTTTGAAATTGCTTGAAATTGCTATTTTCATTGTTTGTTTTAAAATCATATTTAACAATCAATTTTAGACTAAGTATCATTTTAAAAATCATTGCAATATTCTATATGCTTTTATTTGTTGGACATCACACTGGGGAACTTCATAGACTGAGAAGCAATAAACAATAAAATAAAATGTCTGACTCTAGCTCTGGTGCATTTGTCTCTTCTTACTGAATTTTCCTTACTTTTTAATCAATTTTGGGTCAGGGGATATAATTGTGCCTCAAACTAAAGAAAATCCCCACTTATTGTCTAATAAGTATTTCAGAGGAAGGAATAGTCTAAAGTCACTTATGTTCCTTGAGCAAGAATATTCTATGGAATGTATGGGATTCAACACATGACATCACATCACATCAGTATTTGTTCGGATCCATTTCTTTAATTTGGTGGTACTTCCATAATAATTCTAATTTCCACTCTGCTTCTCCTCATGTAAAAAATACAAAAAAATAACTAAATAATATTTTATAAGAATAATAACATTAAGTCTAGTCAAGTCCAACTTTGGGGGTGGTCATTTCCATTTCTAAGTGAAAGAGCAGGCATTGTCCATAGACCCCTCCAAGTTCATGTGGCTGGAATGACTGCATGAACCACTGTTACCTTCCCATTGAAGTGATACCTATTGACCTACTCATTTGCATGTTTTCAAACTGCTACGTTGGCAGAAGCTATGGCTAACAATGGGAGCTCACCGTCCCGCAGATTTGGACAGCCGACCTTCCGATCAGCAAGTTCAGCAGGTTAGCTGTTTAAGCTGCTACACCACCACATCTATGAAATTTTAGTGCCAGGAATTTGTATGTTGTTAACTTACCTCTTCCTGGTAGTGCCAGTTTGAGGTCGACTTCTTTTCCTCGGTGTTTAACTCTACAGATCAGTTCTTGTTCAGCTTGGCTTCTTGAGGTATTTACAAAGATGCCGCTCATGACAGTCACTGTACCATTGGGATTTGTGACCTGAGTCTCATTCATTTTGCCTCCTGGTGTGTGCCATGAGATCTGAGGACGTGGGAAGCTAGTTGCAAAGCAGGTGGCACTCGTATGTGTTTCAGAAGTTTTGTAGTGTATAAAGGTGTCGAGGTGAGCTATGTGACATAAACAACAATAAAAAAACCTTTTAGCAAAAACCTCACCATTCTTTTTAAAATCGTGCTTGATTTTGTTACATTACTTTTTAGGTTTTTGTTTTTTAAATTAAATTTATTTGTCTTATGAAATATGTTCTTAATCACAACATTTCATTGTCTAAAATTGTAAGCTTGTTTCCTTCATTTAGTGTTTTTAATACTCCCATTCCCTAAAATCCAATCCTGGGAATTGCTATATGTCAAAAATCAATTATCTCTTTATCTCATTAGCTCTTTGACTACCAGTTATGCTTTTTGTTGAAATTTCTTATCTAGTACAAATTGAAACAGATCACCCTTAACTAAAACCATACAAGGAGGATATCCAATAAAAGCTCATGAACATTAAGTAGTTGGAGGTAATGTGCAGGAAGTACTGCATTCATAGAAGTTATTATTATTATTATTATTATTATTATTATTATTATTATTACGCTGCTTTTTCTCTCCAGAAGGAGACTCAAAGTGGCTTACATTAAAAGCATTTAAATACAATTTAAAATATACAAATATTAAAACAGAATGAAATATCTATGGTATTAAAAATTCACAGTTAAAATCAATGAAAACCTATTCAAAGCTAAAAACCACAGCACTCGCTGACTTGATCTTTAAAACCTTCTTCTTTAAAAGCCTGTCTGAATAAAAAGGCTTTAGCCGGCTGCTAGGCAGGGAGTTCCAGAGGCAAGGGGCAGCCACCGAGAAGGCCATCTCTCTCATTCCCATCAACCGAGCTTGAGTTGGGGGTTGGGACCAAGAGAAGGGTCTCTCTTGAAGATCTCAGGGCCTGGGCACATTTGTACAAGAGGTGTGGTTAGCCAAATATCTTGGACTTGAGCCACCGATGGCTTTAAAGGTCATAACCAACACTGTGAATTGTGCCCGGAAACAAACTGGCAGCCAGTGGAGTCTCTACAGTGGAGGTTATCCACTCTCTGTAGCCAACCCCAGTTAACAACTTGGCTGCATTCTTCTCAACATTTTTAGAGTTATTTTAAAATGGAAAGACTTACCATAAACAGAAAGACAGGGTTTCCCTGTGACAGGTCCTGAAGGAAATGTATTAAATATGCATTGGTAGCACCCATTATCTTGGATGCTAGCATTCCAAAAGGTGATTGCAGTTTCATTGAGTCCTAAAACTGTGAAATTGAATTGCATTTCTGGCCGAAAAACTTTTGGACCGCTTACATTATGATACACTGCAATATTTACAAGGCTTCCATTTATTTGTTTCAGCCATGTAACTTGAATAGTCTCATACAGTTTTGATGGTGTACATCTCAAGGTTGCTTTGCCACCCAGTTCCACATCTTTGTTGTGTGTAATTACAGCACCTGTGGTAACACACATATTTAAAAAAACATAAAACACACATTAGAGTAAAGAAAATAAGCCAAGGTATAGGTGGGTTCATATGTTCTCCCTCTTCTAGGAGATTTTCTACTTGGACTGGATGGCCCATGAGGTCTCTTCTAACTATGATTCTATGATATCATTATTCTCTCCTTTCCCAGGGTGACAGTTTTGAAACTTTCACTTCTAGGATCGATTAAACACATGATCTGAAGCTGTCAAACTGAAGTTAAATGTAACTTTGCTTTTGGAAAGTTTGGGTGATGAGCTGGGATTTTGGGAACCAAGGATTCAACTCTCATGTCAGCCATGGAAATGCACTAGGTAACCTTGGGCAAGTCACATTGATTCAGTCTAAAAAGAAATCAATAGTAGACCTCATCTGAATAAAACATATGAAGACAATCGTGTGAGAGGGTCAGTATAAGTTGGAGCTCATTTCACCTCTCATATTTGGGGCAGAGGGAACAGTATTTGAAAGGTTTCTGCAACTGAGTCTGTGGATGCTAATCTCTTGCTTTTAGTACAGATAGAAATGTTGGATAAAACTTTAGACTTCCATCAACTAATATACCCTCATTAATTTGCCATCTTTCTAGTTAACTATCTCTTTCCACGAAATGAATTCTTGATTCAGAATTTGGGCAGCAAAAGCTTGTGTTTTGCAAGGCCATTTTGTGTCTATTTATGGGTGCTAGATTAATTCTATTATTATTTCTTAATTTCAGGCAGCTCAGATTCTGCTTCTGCTTTCCATGACAGTTTTCAGGTGTGAACCTCACTGCTGCCCTTCCTGACAACCAAGCATTGGATGTCGCCTTCTGCAGTGGCAGATACTTCAAGTCTGTCCTTTTCATTTGAGAAAATAATGGGTCACCTGAGGCTATAATAAGTGCATTATTATAGAGGTGGTCATTACCTCTAAACCAGTGGTTCTCAGCCTGTGGGTCCCCAGGTGTTTTGGCCTACAACTCCCAGAGATTCCAGCCAGTTTACCAGCTGTTAGGATTTCTGGGAGTTGAAGGCCAAAAACATCTGGGGACCCCAGGTTGAGAACCACTGCCCTAAACAGTTCAGGCCCAGACTATTCGGCTAACTGCATCTCCACATACAAGCCTGTCCTGGCGCTATGATTGACAGATGAGGCCCTGCTCTCAGTCACACCCCTATCTCAAGCACAGCTAGTCGGAATGAGAGAGGGGGCCTTCTCTGTGGTCGCTCCCCGCCTCTGGAACTCTCTCCCTAAAGAGATCAAAATGGCTCCCTCCTTACTCTCTTTCAAAAAAACCTAAAAACTTCCTTATGCTCTCAAGCGTATAGAGAGGAGGATGCATAGAATATCTAGCACAGACATTATGGAACAAAAATGACTTGTTACTTTGGCTATGTAGGCTTTTAAATTTTATACCTTTATTACTCTTATCTTAAGTTTTGTCCCCTTAATGTTTAATTGTGAAAACATAATTCTGTTATGTCATTGTCTAATTTGTCACAATGCCTTTATTATCATTTTGATGTGGATGTTGGATATGTTTTTTTTTAATTTGTGTGGCTTTGGTTGTTTCAGTTTTGTTAACACCTTATGTCATTGAATGTTTGCCGCTACCTGTTGTAAATCGCCCTGTCCCCATGAGGAGATAGGGCAGGATATAAATAAATATTGTTGTTGTTGTTATTATTATTATTAAGCAGGAAAAAGGTGTTGGCAGAGAGAATTCTATATTTAGTCCATGGCCTGGAGTGTCTTAAGTTGGTTTGCTACCTTTCATCATTAAATTTGAAAAAAAAAACCCTTCAAGTCCAGTTGGCTTTTGTGTTTGAAACAAAATAGGTTGCTGTCAATGCATGCATTACTATTTGTCTTTACCTGGCCCTGATGTAGAAACATATAGATATACATGTTTCAGAATGTTCTCGAAGATTGGAAATAGACAAGTGTTCTGATTGAAATATACTAAAAAAAAAAAGAGTAAACCTACTGAACAGCCACAAGGCGTATATTTCACTTCAAGCAAAAAAAGTAACTAAGTCAAAAATAAAGTATTGTATTGTGTTTGAAACAGGAGCTACATAATAAAGAGCTTCCTGATAATAAAACACAATTGTTGGATCATATTAGACTACTACTACTACTACTACTACTACTACTAATAATAATAATAATAATAATAATAATGCTTTATTTATATTCCCCCCCCCCTCCTGAAGGGGACTCGGGGCGGCTTTCAACAAGAGGAAACAATATAAAATCAGTCCTCTAAGGAATTCAGCGAGTTCTTCTCCAAGGTTACAGACAAACCAAGGGAAGACAGTGATCACCAACTCTTGTCAGCAGTTATTTACAGTCACTCTGATATATGTGCAACAAATCCCACGGATGCGAAATAATATCAGTCACACTTACAATCCAAAAAAGGTTAAATAAAAACAGATAAATCGAAAAAGACAAATCACAATACATAGAAGAAAAATACCTTGTATCCTACAGAGGTCTATAAGTATGATACACCCAATTAGGTTCTGGAAAATCCACAAAGAACAATTACCTTCATTCACCTAGGAACAAGAGAGAATAAAAAACTCTTACAGAATCATAATAGATTCCATTTGCCTCTACAACAATGTCCACATACATAATGAGTATTATAATATCATAGAATTTCCCAAAGTGGAAAAAAACAAATCTTTACAAGCCTAGATAAAGACATTACATATGTCAAATTATTTGCCTGTGTGCCACTCAAATCTGATATAAAATATTGCTCCTTGAATGCAAGTATATTTATTAAAGCATGAATATGTTATCCCAAATGTCAGGTGTATATGCAGCAAACATTATTGGAGAAAGGACTGTAGATCATGAAACTAGATACAAATCGGACACAGAAAATGCAAATAGTGACAGCTATGCCCTCAAACCATAGCTGCATAGCATAGAGTCAAAGCATAGCTGCAAAAAGGAGAATGGTCAAGAATTCTGTGAGCTGAAATCCCAAACACCTGGAGGACCAAAGTTTGGACCACTGTGTCTAGCACAAAAAACCCAGAGGATACCATGTTGTTGTTTATTCATTCAGTTGCTTCCGACTCTTCATGACCTCATGGACCAGCCCACACCAGAGCTCCCTGTTGGCCGTCACCACCCCTAGCTCCTTCAGAATCAAGCCAGTCGTTTCAAGGCTACCATCCATCCATCTTGCCCTTGGTTGGCCCCTCTTCCTTTTTCCTTTTTCCTTTCATTTTCCCCAGCATCACTATCTTCTCTAAGCTTTCCTGTCTTCTCACGATGTGGCCAAAGTACTTCATCTTTGGGTTGTGGCCAAAGTACTTCATGACGTGGCCAAAGTACTTCATCTTTAGGTTGTTGTAGGTTTTTTTGGGCTATATGGCCATGCTCTAGCACATGGCCATGTAACCCGAAAAAACCTACAACAACCCTTTGATTCCGGCCATGAAATCCTTCGACAATACTTCATCTTTGCCTCTAGTATCCTTCCCTCCAGTGAGCAGTCGGGCTGTATTTCCTGAAGTATGGACTGGTTGGATCTTCTCGCAGTTCAAGGAACTCTCAGAATTTTTCTCCAACACCACAGTTCGAAAGCATCTATCTTCTGAGGATACCATAGGGCAGTGCTAACATATTCTCCCCATTTCCATGTTAATTCTAGACTACAAGTGTGAACGGATTCAAGCAACATCTGTAAAGGAAAAAATACTTCTTATTCATTATAAAAAGCAGGCTGCCTTATCATTGTTGTTATGTCATTAAACGTCATGGTAACATTGTATGGAATCCTGGGATATATACTTGGGGAGGTGCATTTAAAATTTTCAACTACAGAGCTCTTGGGCTTCACTAAACTACAAGCCCCAAATTCTCAAGGATGTTGCTATAGTAGTTAAAGTGGGATAGTATCAATATAAGTGCATAGTGTGATTGGATCCTAAAATAATGTCTCCTATGTTTTAAATGGCATGAAATGGTGTTTAAGAAGAATATTAATGCAAGCATAAGAAAAATATTTTAATCTCTTATGGGTAACTATTTTTTAAAATGTGTTCACTGTTTCAATCATGTTTTAAAAATAATATTGTGAGTTAATTAATTTTTAACTTTTGTAAATTAATATTTTAAAATTATTTTAAGCCACATTGAATCCCATTTGGGAAGAAAGGTGAGATGTACAGTCCATGAACAAACAAATAATAAACATTTAACAACAAGGGATTCCATATTCGGGGGTTATCACTGTAAAGGCCAAAACAGCCACACTTTTCTCTCAAGAGTATTTATAAAAAGAAATCCATTGATCTTAGGTTTAAAGCTTCTGATATGTCCAGAAATAAATTTAACAAATGAATATCCAAATAAGAAAACTCTTTTTTTTATTACAGATCACTGGGTCTCAAGCTGACAGAGAATGGTATGACAGAGCCAGAATCAGAAATGGGCACTGCCTGATTCATAGCAAAGTGCTATTACAATACTGTTGTCATTGAAAATGATTAAACACTTAAGAATGTTTAAGGAACATAGTTATTATGAAAGGGAAATAAGTCCATTGTTAAGAAAAGGTCGTAGAGGAAAATGAGGCCAAGGAAAGATTTTAGCTACAGGACGAGAGAAGGAAGCATCTGGAGAAAGAATAACAAGGAGAAAACAAAATAATTTTCAAAAGAAAAACCAAATGAAAAGTAGTTAGATATTTACAGTATATTCTGGCGTATAAGACTACTTTTTAACCCAAGAAAATCTTCTCAAAAGTCAGGGGTCGTCTTATACGTGGCTGTAGTCTTATGCATGGGAGTCGTCTTAACTCTATATTTTAACTGGAAAAGTTGGGGGTCGTCTTATACACCCAGTCGTCTTATATGCCGGAATATACGGTATATAAGTGTCTTAATAAGAAATACCCTGAAGAGACCAAGAATGGATGAGACAGAGAGAGAGAAGTGAAAAGCAATCAAGTAAACAATAAAGATTCGAACTCTGTAATTTCTTTAGGGTCCCATCTACGCTGACCATTTAATTAAGTTTCAAACGAGCACTGAAGAATGTGGTTTCACTGAGCAGATGCTTACATTGGAAATCCTGGAATCAGTTTGAGGCCCAAATGGCAATTACACAAACCACGGGGGGGGGGGGGGGTTAAAACTTGTCAGGAGTGACTTGAGAAACTGCAAGTCGCTTCTCGTGTGAGAGAATTGACAACCTGCAAGGGTGTTGCCCAGGGGAAGCCCGGATATTTTAATGTTTTACCATCCTTATGGGAGATTTCTCTCATGTCCCCACATGGGGAGCTGGAGCTGACAAAAGAAGCTCATCCATGCTCTCCCCAGATTCGAACCTGCAACCTGTAGGTCTTCAGTCCTGTTGGTACAAGGGTTTAACCCATTGCACCACTGGGGGCATTCCACAGAGTGTTGATGCACATTAAGACGTTTCTACTATGCTCTTTTGTGGGAGTTTATTGTCTGCCACCACAACTGCAGCTTAAGTATAGGTGTTCCTAGGGATACATCTAGAATCAATGCAGTTTGACATTGCTTTAATTGCTGTGTCTCAATGCTATTGTAACTTGATGAGGCACAAGCATTCTCTGGCAAAGAAAGCTAAAAACTTTGTAGAACTACAACTCCATTGGATCAAAGTGTCAAACTGCCCCCTAGATAGTTGATCAGTGGTTCCCAACCTGTGGTCCGTGGACTACCAGTAGTCCACAAGAACAAAAATATGGTCCGCAGCCTCACCATTACTACACCATTGCCTTGAAACGATACAGCAACGAGAGCGACTGATCTTGCAAAACCCTCTTATAGTGCCGAGGCAATGGAGATGTTGGGAGGAGAGAGGCTGACTACCCACACAAGATTACTACTACCAGATCAGCTCTAGATTATTAAATATGGTTTTCTGTGGGTGAGCAGATGGCGACTACTGGATAACATATGTTCTGCATAAGAAACTAGAGCTGATGTGGTTTAGCTAAAGCAATTTTCTGAATCAGCATCCCAAAAAACCAACCCAAATCTAAAGTTGATGAAAAACTGGTTCATAACCCTTTTGGTACTAATGTTGGAGGGTGATTCTGTGTCAAAGGTCAAAGTGGTCCCTGGTCAAGTGATCCTTGGTCAAAGAATTGCCTTCACTTAGCTGCAATTTCAAGTAATGCCAGCTGCAGTGTCTAATGGTTACTACCATAATGTGACATGGGAAAACAGACTATGTATTTGTAGTCAATGTCAGGTAGAAGACATTGTGCATTATCTGTTAGTCTACCCAAGAGAAAGACACCTGAAACACTTGCTGACACAAGGTAAAGGGAGCTCTATAGCAGAAACAGTGCAGCTTCTGCTGAGCGACACAAATGACTACGTAACTTACAAAGTAGCCCTTTTTGCACTATCTGCAAAAAAGATCAGAAAGAGTTAGATAAAATTGCCATCAACTGCTGAGGAGATTCTAAGGGTTAACTGGACCCTCTCCCAAAATGTACTTTAATTATTGTCAACTTGCATTGTTTTTGCTCTTTGTGGGAGCATGGTTTCTGTTTAGCATCTTTGGTGCTTGTTGCTCCAAGGGTACATGTGCACATGTGGTGCTTTTTGTCATGGCCTTGGGCCTGTACAATAAACTATTTTGATGATATTTACAAAATTTGGAGCATATGTTTGGAATTGTCTGATTCAGATATAGTTTGGGAACATGAGGAGCACCTTGTTGTTGTTGTTGTTCTTATTGTTAGTGTTATTGTTATTATTATTATTATTATTATTCATTCCTTCATACAAATTTATGACTTCTCAGGAGAGACATGTTTTCTAGGATCAACTGAGAGTGATATGCAGGAATTTTTGAGCTCCAAAAGGGAGAGCCTTACTTGATGAAATCAATCCACCTGCAATGTGGTTTCCTTCTATAATTACTGGATTCCATTAACCCCTTTTCCTGTCAGTCATGTTATCTCATTATATTCTTCCAAAGTATGATAGCCTCTGTTTAGTCATTTTTGCTTCTAATGAAAGTTCAAGCCTAATTTCCAATAGGGCCCATTTATTTATCCTTTTGGCAGTACATTGCATTCATAGAACTCTCACATTTACATTCAGCGGATTTTTTTACCTCCTTGTATAAAAAATTAGAAATATCATGATGTTGATTATTCTAATTTTGGTATTTAATGAGCAATCATTAAAAGTCACTAATTATTGCTCCCAACAATATAGGGTATTCCATCTTCTGCACTATACTGTATTACAGCTACATCGCAAGCAAACTGCTATAAAAGTCTCCAGTGACCTTCTGTTAAAAACAGACCCAAGTTAGGTGTCCAATGTGCACTTTATGTGTGTGTGCATTAAGTTCAATTAGGCTTGAACTTTCAATAGAAGCAAAAAATGACTAAATGTATATGTTATTTTGCATTGTTCTTACATTCCAAATAGTAGTAATTGTGAATTCAAATTTAGGAGATTTATTTGTGTGATCTGCTCCTGATGGTTAGTTTAGAAACCTTCTGGTTGTAAGATTTATGCAGGCATTAGAAGTGATAAAATTAGATTGTGATGGCTACAAGAAGCCCATGCAGTTTGAAATCCAAGCAATGTAGAAACCATTACCCGAACGTTTATCTGGAACTAAAATGTGTATGATTTTTTAAGATGTTGTGTGCCTTAAGGCTGTTTCTGACTAAATGGCAACCCCCAGGTAATCCTGTTATGGGTATTCTTGGCCAGGTTTGTTTTGAGGTGGCTTTCTTTTGTCTTCTTCTGAGAGAATGTAACTTGCCCAAGGTCACCCGGTGGGTTTCCATGGCAAAGTGGGGATTTGAACCCTCATTTCCAGAATTGTTGTGAAACACTCAAAGCATTGCACTACACACTGGCTTTCACTTTTTTTGCAGATGCATCAGTATTAATTGCTACAAATCCATGTGATAGTTTCAATTAGAATAGATTTACTGAATCTTTTATTGAGGAATGACTCAAATCATATGTAAATTCCATCTATTCCATTGTTCACTTCCAGCTGAGACCAATAGCAAGACAGAACCCCATGTTTTCCACATGTTACATAGTATTTTAACATTCAATGTGCCCACATTTATAAAAGCTGCTGCCAGAATGGTACCAAAATATTATAAGCCTTTTATTTTATGGGCTTTTATCTAGGGGCAGGTTCACACCAAAAACAATTTTCTTCTCACTTAACAAGTATGAAATTAAGTGTTGTAACTGCTCTTCTTGTGCACATTTTCTTGCAAAACTTTCTCTACATTACCGTTTTTTTAGTTGTACATTTTTTCTCTCAAATTTGCAAATTGTGATGTTTTTAAAATCATAATCATACTGAAACATAATTCTCACCCATCACTACTAGCAAACTGTTCCCGGCATAGAGACAATCATTTTTTACCTGCCAGTCTGTTAGGAAAATAATGCAACATAAATTTAATGCTTCAAATACAATTAAAATGCAAAGGGTCAAACCCAAATATTTCCAAAAAAAGGACTCAAAGCCCAGGGGCTGATTTAAGAAACTTTCAGTTTTCTTAACTAGTCCATTCTCCAAAATGTATTACTTATAGATTCTCTGAAAAGTTTTCCACTAAGTAAATTTGGTTAAGGAACTATCTTGCTTTGTGCCAGACACTGACATTGGTTGTTACACAGATTGTAATACTACACCGATTTGTTTAAACTCAACTGCACTGACAGTACTTAACAGAATTTCTTCCCCAGCATAAAACATTGCTTCTTTGAATGCTTCTTTTCTTTCAAAGGTAAGATTTTTTTTTAAAAAAAAAAAAATCACCATTGACCTTTCTTGAACTATTTCATTGCAGAAGAGATACTGATTGCAGACTATGGAGGTTTCGTTCCATTATTAAGCAAACAACTAAAATCTTATGTGAAAGAATTACATATTTGCTTATTCACTTCATCAAAGCAGACTGCTTTAAAGTATTTTTCCTTCTCCATCCCCACCAAACCAAAGCCAGCCTTGTGTCCCAGTATTGTATGACAGAACAATATAAATCTTACCTTGGGAGGCATGTTACTGTAAAGTGGAAAGAAGAACGCATCCAAATACAGCTGCTGCCTCAAGATAAAAGAGTAGAAAAAGCCATTGGTCGGTCAGAGAAGCACGGAGAAACATCTGCCCTTCCTACAGTCTTGTAGAGCTCCTCCTACTGAAGTCTGTTTTCTGGTACTGAAATAGCACAGATTTAGTATTTTAGTTCAGGCAGGTAAAATATAACACATCTTTACAATTTTATGCATGAAGAGAGAGCAAACTATGCAAATCAGAACACAAGCAATCATGCATTATCTTACATACGTATCAGTACGACTAAATAAACATTAAAAAGCAGTATCTAAAAAGCCTGTGGAATTTCAAACAGAGATTCCACAAGCTTCTTCACCTTTTGTCAAACTCCCCCTTTGTCAAACTTGCATTCTGCCCATGGAGGGACTACAATTATTAAGGATATTTGTAAAAAGAATATTAAAAATAATAGGTCTAGGTCCAGATGTATGAAATAAGACGCCATCTGTAAAAGGAAAAATGTTTTCAATAAAATGTGGATACTTTACCTGTATTGTTCTTGTGACGCAGTGTGCTATTAAAACTGATGTAATTGGTATTGTGAAAACTAGCAAGATGTAATGGTTTAAGCACGGGGCTGCAGCTCTGGAAACCAGGAGCACATCTACACTCACCATTTAATGTAGCTTGAAAGCAGCTTGAAAGTGCAGCGTTTGCATAACATATGTCACAAGCATGCATTGTAAGCACATGTTAACCCCTTGAAATCAGGATAAGCAAAATTGGGAGAATACTCCAAAAGAGAGCCCTTAGCGCACATCAGCACATGCCAGTGTAAATCCCATCACATGGTAAAAACATTTTCACAGAATGCAAATCTCTGTGTAGACATCTGAAGGACTCCACTGAGCTTCACATGCTCAGCCCAGGTTTGAAAAAGAATGCATTCTCCGTGGCTTTCAAGTCACAGATACTGCAGATCTTGAACTGGTTTGAGCCAGGCCTCTGTAGTGTGGAAAGCTGCACCATCTGGTCCCTGAACTGGTTCCAGGACGTGCAATGTAATCATCAACACAGTGTGGCCCCTTCCACACAGCTGAATAGTATCCCATATTATCTGCTTTGAACTGGAATATATGACAGTGTGGACTCAGATAACCCAGTTCAAAGCAGATATTCTGGGATTTTCCACCTTGATATTCTGGGTTATATAGCTGTGTGGAAGGGCACTGAGACTGCTCCCTTCTATGCTGGTTTCATCCTGGATTTAATGGTTAGTGTAGATGTAGCCCAGTATTTGATTTCCCATTCAGCCATGGAAATCAGACAAGCAACATACTTTCAGCTGCAGAAAACCTCATAATAAGTTAGCCTTAGGGTCATAAGTCAGAAGTAACTTGAAGGCAAACAACACCCAACTGATAGTAAACATAGAGGAAGCTGAGTATGGAGCTGAGCTATTTCTGAACACCAGAAATTTAAGAATATTAAAATTATAGCATAAGATTCTTGAATATCTGGTACTCAGGGCCCTTCCACACAGCCCTATATCCCAGAAGATCAAGGCAGAAAACCTCACATTATCTGAGTGTGGACCCAGTTCAAAGCAGATATTCTGGGATATAGGGCTGTGTGGAAGGGCCCTAAAAGTCAGGTTAGGGAAAATGTGTCCTGCAAACATTTGTTACATGATTGCCCCCCCCCCAAAAAAAAAAACAACAAAGACCCGGATCTCAATTTTTTAAAAAATAGAAAGTAGCCAATCTCTCCCCGGAGCAGCTGTTGTAGTGTTTTAAATACAGAGAGACAAAATGAGGGCATTGTCCCTCCATAAAAATTTTCCTTTTCTAGGGATTCTTTTGTGATGGCATGCCCAAGTCTTTGGGAAAACTATAGTGTATCGCTTTACTCGAGGGCTATCTGTATACCATTTGTTAAGATTGAGACCCTTAATACACAAATGCACTTTAGGCAAGGTGAAAAGATAACCAAAATGAGTCTACTTAAAACAAGATGAATAAAGGGGTTAACTCCACCTGGGACTATTATAAGGTAACTTAAAACAGTACATTACAAAAGGAGGTTTTGCTAGCTGCAGTCATCTCTTTGGAGTCTTCTGTCTCTGGTGCAAAGCGACGGTTTACAGACTATTGCTTATAAGCTGTCTCAATCTTTTTTCTTGTGAAGCTTAAGCTGGTCAAAAACTTCTGTTGTCTCTGGTATGTGTGATGTGTGGTATGTGTGATGGTATAAGAATACTGCTGAATGCAGGTGCTAAGGATTCCTGTTTTGGATTGCTTCAGCCTAGGATTACCAAACAATGCCCAAGCCTCTGTTCACTGTAACTCTGCTGCAGAAAGAAGGAGTCCAGCAAGAAAGCTCTATACAGGCAAATGGAATAAATCAACTAAGGCTGGCAACTGGAGGGTTTGAATGCTCCACCCAAAAACTAATACAAAGGAAGGTATCTAGACCATTGGGAAAACCTATAAACAGGGGAAACTAAAGCAGAAGAGAGGAAAAGGCAGAGCTAAAACTTCACATCTTTTCTTGAAAATCCTTCACACTGAATGCCTTTTGCATTTCAAATGCTTATACTTGCTGTGTCACATTAATCATCATCATCTTTATTCTTTGTACCCTGCTTCCATCTCCCTGAAGGAACACGGGGTGACTTACATATGGCACAATGTGCCTGTAAAATAAAATAAAATAAACACATGAAACACACAAAAATGTATTTATAACCGGAAATTTGGTGGGTTCCTTTCTTTGAATGCCTAAATATATTTTTACATATTCAGTTGACATTTTAAGTTACTGCAGTGATAAAAAATGGAGAACTAAACGAACATCCTGTTTGGAGGGTAGCGTTCTTATTAGGGCAATGTCCTTGTTTTACTTCTCCTGTAGTTAAAACTCTGAACACTTCCCTTTAAACAAGGTAACCTTTCTGATCTTCCTCAAATCCAACATCAAATCAGCCTCCAGAATCAAAAGTATAAAGCTGAAGTTGACTTCCAGTTGCATCAAAGCATTTTCAGTTGATCCCCGCCCCCCACGCCACTAAATGTGGTGAGATGTATTGCAATGGTGGAAAACAGCCCTGCATTTGCCATATTTGCTTTGGCTCAGAATCCCTGTTTATAAACTGTTTATAAACCTAGAAAAAGCAGGGAAAATTTCAATGCAATGATCATATTTTGTATTTGACTTGTATAGACACGTGGGATAATTCATAATTCTGTCTAGTTTTCAGGGTTTCCACTTTTAGCTCTTTTCCAAAAACTGACCTTCAATGGGGTGCTCTGTTTACTCTGTCAGTGGGCTGAAGGGTCTGCTAATAAAGAAGAGCAGGCAGGAAATTCTACTTCCTCAAGCCAACTTGCACACTGCTAAATATGGAAGCTACTCAATGAATTTTAAAAAGTTGTGGTTGTGATAAGAAGTTAATATTTGCATTCTCATTTGGCAAAAACTGTCCCAATGCTTCTGACATCCCCCCTGAGAAAAACAACACGCAGAAGAATCATGTTATGATTTCATTTATTATTATTATTTATTAACTACATTTCTATACTGCTTTTCTCACCCCTGGGGGGACTCAGAGTGGTTTACAACATAATAAATGGCAAATTCAATGCCTCACATATATATAAAAATCACATGTCTAAATCAGTAACATATAACTGTAGATAAAAACTGTTAAAACTATAAAAACATCAAACATAGACATAAGCATGAAACCTATTATTGCTGCAATTAACAATATAGACCCCTTCCCTTCTCTCCCCCCCTCCTCAACTCTCTATAGCGTTTCAGCCTTTCTTTTTATACCATTCCTGCTCCCCCCACATTTATTTATTCATTTATTTAAAACTTTTCTATCCCCATCTTCTCAACCCCCGTAGAGGGACTCAGACCATCTTACAGCAAGGATTCAATGCTAATAGTACAAGCTAAAAACATCATATAATAACAAGTTAAAATACATATAGATTAAAATTACAAATAAGCCAAATCACCAAGATAAAATCATATCCAACTCAGTCCATATGTGTGGTCGATAACTTTGTTCTGTAGCCGGATTCAACCATTACTCTGGGAATGCTTCCTTCCATAGCCAGGATTTCACCAGCCTCCTGAAGGACAGGAGGGAGGGGGCAGATCTGATCTCAATCAGGAGAGTTTCATAGCCAAGGGGCCACCACAGAAAAGACCCTGTCTCTCATTCCTGCCAGACACAATTGTGAAAGTGGCAGGACTGAGAGTAGGGCCCCACCCGAAGATCTTGTCTTGATGGTTCATAGGGGAGAATACATTCGGACAGGTAAACCAGACCAGAACCGTATAGGGTTTTGTAGGTTAAAACCAGCACTTTGAATTGTGCTCAGAAGCTAATCGGCAGCCAGAGGAGATGGTGCAACAAAGGAGTTGAGCACTCCCTGTACCCCGCTCCCGTTAGTAAACTGGCTGCCGAACGTTGGACTAATTGCAGCTACCGGGCAGTCTTCAGAGGCAACCCCACGTAGAGAGCATTTCAGTAGTCAATACGGGATGTAACCAGAGCGTGGACCACCATGGTTACGGGTGCAGCTGGCGCACAAGCTTTAATTGTGCAAAAGCTCTCCTAGCCACCACAAAGACCTGGGATTCCAAGCTCAGCTGTGAACCTGCACCTTCAGGGGGAGTGTAACCCCATCAAGCACAGGCTGTAACCCTATGCCCTGTTCGGCCTTACAACTGACCAGGAGTACCTCTGTCTTGTCTGGATTTAGTTTCAATTTGTTCGCCCTCATCCAGTCTGTTACAGCGGCCAAGCACCGGTTCAGGACTTGAAAAGCCTCCTTAGTAGCAGGTGGGAAGGAGTGACACAGTTGGACATCATCTGCATACAGATGACACCGTACCCCGAAACTCCCAACAGACACAAAGTTATTTAGGTACAGATTAAATACAAAATGAGGAAGGTAAAAAAAGTCCTGGGCATTCTTGGGGCATGGTGAATGTGACATGAGGTCCTTGGGGTGGGTGGAGGGAGCGTCTTATCTGATTATGGTAGTAGGCTACTGATCAGTTTCGTAAAAGTCCAGAGGGACATAGATTTTATCAGTTGTGGTGCCATAATTCAGGTATGAACAATCACTTGCCAGTAGACTGAGGACGGGGAAGGGCAGTGAAGTGCAGCTAACCCTGAGGAGAGTTGGTGTGTAGGCTGTACCTTCCACTCTGGAGGAGCTGAAGTCTCCTGGCCTTCTTTCCACCTCCTCCTTGCTGGCTGTTGGAGGGGGGGGGGCAACGAGGTGTAGCTGCTGCTGAGGAGAGTTGGTGTGTAGGCTGAGAAAATTCATTTCTGCAAATGTGTGTGTGTATTAGAAACTGTTGCACTTCCATATCAACATCAGCCAGAAGATGAATTCCCAGGACTGGGACAAAATAGATGACCTCACAACCTCTGAGGATGCTTGCCATAGATGCAGGCAAAACATCAGGAGAAAATGCTTCTAGAACATGGCCATATAGCCCGAAAAACCTACAACAACCCATTGTTTTGTTATTTTGAAAATACCTTTATTGACAGAATTTCAAAGGCTTTACAATATTCAACTGCAATTCATCAAGTAAAGAACTGAGTTTATTTGACATTAGTGTCAGGGTTGTTTGCAAATGTCCTTCCCAAGATTAGTCAAAGATATTTTTCCCATGTTCATCTTCTTCTTTTTTGTGGTTGTAGCATTTGTACCATTTTATATAGAAACTTTAAAAAACATTTGACAAAAATCTGTGCATAAATCAATTGATTTGCATTAGCTGTGTATTTCCTGCAAGAAGCATGACCAATGATTTGTGAGTTTCTTTATAGTTCTACAATTCTATAATTTTGTTTAGAAAATTGAGCCCCCTTCTACACTGCACTATATCCCAGGATCTGATCCCATATTTTCTGCTTTAAACTGGATTAAATAAGTCTCTACTTCCAGATAATCTGGGATAAGAAGATCATCTGAGATCAGATCTTGGGATATAGGGGCAGTGTGGAAGGGCCCTGAGAAATCAGTCATGGGTTTCTTTGTCAGAAGTTCAGTGTATTTCACAGTTTAAGACCTACAAGTGATAGTTTTACTGTTTAAAATTTCACTACAATTTCATTCTGTTTGTTTACTACAAAGGTGTAGTAAACATTCATCAATATAAACTGCAAGCTACACAGTGCAACATTCTTTATTAAACTTGAACATTAAACTTGACAATGTGACGGATGAGCCCTTATTGTTATGGCCATCTGGCCAATCCGAACAAGCCAGATTGGCCGAAGGGAACCAACCACCCAAATCTATGCACAAGCCTATTGAACAGATCATTAGCCAGTAGTTTACATGTGTATTGTAGTCAGAAAAACACTAGATGGCAGCAAATGATCTTGAAGTTTTGTTAGCTAACAAAAATGAAAGAACAATGTAATGAAAACTGTGGTGTAATTAACTCGATGTGGAATATTTTTTAGTAGTAACTGCACTTAAATGGGAATACATTATTTATATTTATTTATTTAATTATTTATTTACTAGGCCTGGGTAACAATGGAAAAATTTGTTTCTAAACTCGTTTCGTTTTTAGGGGGTCCATTGCGTTTCGTTTTTTAAAAGAATTCCGAATTTTTCTTTAAAAATATTTCGTTATTTACGAAATTTTGTAAATTTCGAATTGATTCGTTAATGGCGGACGCGATTGCGCAATACGCTAAAAAAACCTCCAAATGGGACAGGGGGAACTTCTGAAGCTTCCCTCTCCCTCTGTTGTTGACTGTTGGTGTGATAATTTATTTTTTTATCACTGACAAAACAAACAACAACTATAAAACTTGCACCAGACATACGGAAATAATAACGAAACAATTTCGAAACAATTTCGAAATGATTTCTTTTTTTTATGTTAATATTTTTTATTGATGGTTTTCATTATACATACAAACAACATGGATTGCTTACTACTAAAGGAGGGGGGAAGGATAGGGATGAAGGGGGGAGGGGGAGTGATGGGAGTGGGAGTGGAAGGTCTCAGCAAGGGAGGTGGTAGGTGAATCTATTTTAAAAAACAAAGTTGACTTCCAATCTAGATTGCGGGGTTCCTGAGTTCTTGAACTTGTCAATGTTTGGTTCTTGTCTTCTTTATTGCTTTCGCTTCTCTATTCTGGTAATAATATGTTTTTCCTTACTTTTAGAAACGTTCTTAACGGTTGCCAATCTATCTTATTTTTCTTACTTTTGTCGTATACTAAATTTGCCAGGGTGTTGTTTTCCATCAAGTCTCTTACTTTGAGCAGCCAGGTGTCTATTGTAGGTAGTTCTTTCTTTTTCCACAGGCTTGCGATTAGTATTCTTGCAGCAGCCGCCAAGTGGTAGAGTAACTTGTCTTTGTTTTGTCTAAATTAAAGTCCAGCAAATGAAGGAGGTAGTACTCTGGCTTGGGTTCGAATTTAATCTGTAATATTCTTTGTACTTGTTTGTGAATCTCAAGCCAGAAATTCTTTACCTTTTTACACTGCCACCAGACGTGGAAGTAGGTGCCTAGTAATTTCGAAATGATTTCGAAACGATTTCGAACCAATTACGAAACAATTACAAAATAAATTGAAAAATTCATTTCGATTTTTAGTTGCTCCTGCCTGGCTCAATATTGGATCGTAAGCTAATTTAAATACGAATCAATAACGAATTACGAAATTAACGAACGAAACCGCCCAGCCTTATTTATTTACAGCTTTTATATTCCACCCTTCTCACCCCGCAGGGGACTCAGGGTGGATTACAGTGTACACATATATGGCAAACATTCAATGCCAATTTTGACATACAACATATACAGACATAGACAGAGGCTATTTAACTTTTTCTGGCCACCAGGGGAGCTGTCGCTTTCATCGTCCATCTGCGACACTGATGAAGTACTTCCGCATTCCCCGCATGCTTTTTGCTGGAGTGCTTGTTGGAGTCTTTTTTATGGCCTCATAAATTAGTTAATTTAGCCTCCCCACACTTTAAGGTGGTACCTAATTTTCCTACTTGACAGATGCAACTGTCTTTCGGGTTGCAAAGGTCGACAACAGGCTACACAATTGGTTGGAAACCCACTCCAACCCGGGCTGGCTTCAAACTCATGACCTTTTGGTCAGAGTGATCTTAATGCAGCTGACTCTGAGCCAGCTGCGCCACAATCCCGGTGCTTAGGTAAAAGGAGCAATGCAAGGCTTTGAAGGAATCTATTTCCTTCAGCACCATCCACATCATACCATTTGTATACTTCAAAAGTATACATTTAACAGCATCACAATTTTTCCTATTCTTTTTTTCCTCTCAGATCTCATTAATTGCCTATTTGTCAGCAGGAAATCTTAGTCTGTTATGTTATATCTGGATACTCATTGTCCACTAATTACTTTACTCTTTTTTCCTCTTTCTGCTCGGATTAACTAGTCCTATGTACTCTTTACTGTTGTTGTATGCCTTCAAATTAATTTCTGACCTATGATTACAGCAAGACCAACTACAGCAGTGATTCTCAACCTGGAGTCCCCAGATGTTTTTGGCCTACAATTCCCAGAAATCCCAGCCAGTTTAGCAGCTGTTAGGATTTCTGGGAGTTGAAGGCCGAAAAAACATCTGGGGACCCCAGGTTGAGAACTGTACTACAGGGTTTTCTTGTTTAGAGATTTGCATTTGCTTTCCTCTGAGGCTAAAAGAGTGAAACCTCTCAAAGTGCCTCAGTAGGGATTCGAACCTTGGTTTCCAGAGTAGCAGTTGAATGCTCAAACCACGACTTCACATCAGTTATCATGCACTCTTTAACTATAGGAGCAAATTATGCAAACTTTACTATGAGGTGTCAGCAAATACATTATAGAAAGCTAAAGTACACAGATTAGGAGTCTAGATCTAAATCCAATCTATCCCAAGTAGAACTGGCCAATTTAATCGAGGAATCTTAAATAAGTATTAACTTCCCAGTTCTCATTGATTCGATATGCCTATTCCCTTAGATTTATGCAAACTGCCACCTATGGCTATTTGTGGATGTAAAAAGAATACAGTCACCGAAAAGCTTGATCAAGCTTGTGTAATTATAGGTTGTGTAAAATAACCATTAAAAGTAAATGAGCTCACTCCGGTTTTCAGTCTGACAACTCTAGGACAGTTCAGTACTGTACTCTACACTGATGACCCCAGTTCTACTTTCAGGGTAAAAATCCCCCACAGAAGTACAAGCAGACCCCGAGTTACAAACATCCAACTTGCAATCCAAAGCTTAAATATATGTTGTTGAAGGCTTTCATAACTGGAATCACTGGGCTGTTGTAGGTTTTTTGGGCTGTATGGCCATGTTCTAGAAGTATTCTCTCCTGACATTTCACCTGCATCTATGGCAGACATCCTCAGACTTCAAACTTCTGAGGATGCCTCCCACAGATGCAGGTGAAACGTCAGGAGAGAATGCTTCTAGGACATGGCCATACAGCCTGAAAAACCTACACCAAGACATATACCTCTCTCCCTGTCTCTCCCTCCCTCCCTCCCTCTCTCTCTCTCTCTCTCTCTCTCTCTCTCTCTCTATATATATATATATATATATATGGCTGGAGATAAACTTAAAAATGTATCTGTTCAACTTAAGAACAAATCTGTATAATATATCTTGTTTGTAATTTGGGGACTGCCTGTACTTGAAATATGGAAAGGGACTTCCACAGGAAAGAAAGGGCCCTTATACATAAACATGCTTTCAGTGTATGCCTAAGAGATTCCACCTGGAATAAAGAACTAAAGGGAAAAAGCGGGAGGGAAGGGCATTCTGCCCCATTCAACCACAGCATGGGCAAGCAAAAATACATGAGTTTACAATACACAGATTATGTAAAGAATAAATACAATATTTTTTTAAAAAAAATCCTAATGTGTACAAACATTTTCAAATAAATAACAGTTATTCAACAATATTATACAATTTAGCTAAACTGTTGATTCAGTAAACTTTGTATCAAGAGAAGCAGCTGAATACATTTTTTTTCTATATAAATATTAAGAGTGCTTATTTTTCAAAACCCTAAAAGATGTTTTTTGTCCAAAGAGTCTTCATCTGTCAGGATGCTTTCCTTCAGGATGAGATTTCACTGGGACTTCTTGCAGAGTATAAATATATTTTCCATTCAGTACTGTTCCAGGACATGCTGGAAAAGCCTGACATAAAAAGACAAACAGATTATTACTGAAATTACAGAGGGAAAGGACTATTGTAGAAGGCTGACAGTTACATGCATATTTGTTTTTTTACAGCAATCCTACCCGGGAAACATTTGTTCATGCTTATTACGTTGTTTCATATCCATTACAAGCAGGATAACTTCTACAGGCTATGTAAATCAAGACTATTTAGTTTGACTCTTGTTCTAATTTTTTGCAGGATTTTGCAATATTATAAAATTTTGTTATGATTATTTCATAAATTATGTTTTATTAGAACACAGGAATCAATTATTTCCTTATTTAGGCCAGGAGTAAGAGAAAGTGTGACCATGAAGTGACATGCAGCCTCCAAGAACTCCTTCTACACTGCCATATAAAATCCAGATTATCTGCTTTAAACTGGATTATAAGGCAGTGTAGGCTCATATAATCAAGTTCAAAGCAGATAATGTGGATTATCTGATTTGATAATCTGGATAATATCACAGGCCAAGGTTAATTGCGTAGCTTTTCAATCTTTCAGCTTCCCTGAATTGTTGGGAATGTGACAGAAAGTAGAGTATCTCACAAGCTAAGTGATTTCTCTCCAGTGCATCTACACTGTAGAATTAATACAGTTTGACTCCACTTTAAAATGGTATGACTCAATGCAATGGAATCATGGGAGCTGCTGTTTTATGTGGTCTTTAGCCTTATCTCCAAAAGAGCACTGGTACCTCAACAAACTTCACATCCCAGGATTCACAGCACCATGAAAAGAAAGCATCAGGCCATTCACTGGGTTAAAATTTATGTGATTTTAAACCAAACTTAGTAACTAAAATGTTTTTATTGTTGCTACATCCATTTAAGGATGCATCTACATCAAGCATGGGCAAACTTCCACCCTCCAGGTGTTTTGAACTTCAACTCCCACAGTTCCTAACTGACTACCGGCTGGTAGGAATTGTGGGAGTTGAAGTCCAAAACACCTGGGGGGGGGGCAAAGTTTGCCCATGCCTGATGTAGATCATAGAATTAATGCAGTTTGATACTACTTTAACTGTAGTTTGGTGAGACATCAGCACTCTTTCACAGAAAAGGCTAAAGAACTTGTAAAACTACAATTCCCAGTCTTCCATATTATCAAGACACAGTGATTAAAATAATGTCAAAATGCATTAATTCTAAATTTCAAAAGAAAGCACATAAAAGGGTAGACTTTCCCCAATTTCTGCCCCAATTATTCAGAACCTGGCAGGATTTAGGTGGTGCCACAGAAACCCTATGCCACAGATACCTATTTCCTGATTTCTGTTCATTTATAATTTTTAGTTTGTAAAGTTAAAACAAAGTGGTTTTGTTTCTTGGAAGACCTACCCAACGTTGTGTTTTTTCTGTCCGCAGTAGTTTCCAGCAGCAGCAGCAGAATACGAAAAATAGGAGAACCAGAGAAACCAAAATGCAGATAGTAAGTGTGATGTCAGTTCCTGGATTGTTGGTTGGAACTGGAAAAGGGAAAGTAACAAATTAGCATGGCTATTAAAGCAATTTTGAAAGAGGAATGGAAAGCATTTAGAATGGTTAAAATTCATGATTCTGACATATGTTGTTCACTGAGGGCTTAAGAATGATTTCCTATAAAACTTTTGTGCTGTACTTCATTGGAGAGGACTATGGGCACTTCCAGACAGCACCAAATTGCGGGTTTTCGTCAGAGGCAAAAAAAAGAAAAAAGAAAAACCTGGGACCTCAGAAGAGGTCCACATACAGACCTGTTGGTCCTGAGATTTCTGCCTCCATTATCCACACTTGCTGCTTTGTCCTGAGATTTTGCAGCCCCCAAGATGGCCACTGCAGGACATCTACTGGAAATTTCAGCATTTTTTAAAAAGATGCAAATATGCGAATCATTGTATAAGTTCCATTCCTGGGTTATAAATGTGGTGTGGCCATCTGTGCAGACAAGTTTGGCCTTGTACTTGTGCCTAGGAACTATGGAGTCATGTTCCAGGGATATACATGTATGTTCCTCATCGCTGTTATTGTGAAAGAATCATAGAATCATAGAATCAAAGAGTTGGAAGAGACCTCATGGGCAATCCAGTCCAACCCCCTGCCAAGAAGCAGGAATATTGCATTCAAATCACCCCTGACAGATGGCCATCCAGCCTCTGTTTAAAAGCTTCCAAAGAAGGAGCCTCCACCACACTCCAGGGCAGAGAGTTCCACTGCTGACTGGCTCTCACAGTCAGGAAGTTCTTCCTCATGTTCAGATGGAATCTCCTCTCTTGTAGTTTGAAGCCATTGTTCCGCGTCCTAGTCTCCAAGGAAGCAGAAAACAAGCTTGCTCCCTCCTCCCTGTGGCTTCCTCTCACATATTTATACATGACTATCATATCTCCTCTCAGCCTTCTCTTCTTCAGGCTAAACATGCCCAGCTTCTTAAGCTGCTCCTCATGGGGCTTATCCAAAGATCTCTACCAGGGTTCAAAATGGTCCTCTGTTAGCATCCCTAGCCATTTTGTTAACTGATGGGAAAGGGACTAGATCACAGATGTTTCTATAGCCAGATGCATATTGTCATCTGCTCAGACCTCTGAAGAACCACAGTAGATCTCAGTGGAGATGTCCTCAGTCTGCTTCTGGTAGGGGGGCATAGCTAAATGCTTCTCCATTGTGGAATTCTTAAGATCTGTTTAAGGTTCTCAGACAATATATGTATTACAAGCAGGGGCACAGATGTAAGGAGCCCAAGGATTTGGAAAAGCAGGGGCCACACTGGAGAGAGAATCCATCACACCATGCTTTGGTTTATTTCCTATTCTAGTTCAAATTGGCAAAATGGTAATGCAGTTTGGATACATTATGGCATGGGAAATATTGAAGAATAGAAGAAATACTATAGTGCAACAGGTATCCTCAAATATGAGGTTGTCAATACTTTGGTCCAGTTTTTTTCCTGCAATGTTAACCACAGAATGCCACAGTGAAACACAAGCATGCGCAAGAAATGTGGCTCTGAAACAAATGACGTTGAAAAATCTTGTCCAAACTTACTTTCTTCCATGACAGTCACAGGTACAGCCAACTCTTCTGTAGTGTTTAAAGATGGATGATGAATAACACAGATTATCGGGTTATCACGGAAAACTTGAGAGGATAGGTGAGTGAAATTGCTGACCACAGTCACAGTCTTGTTGAAGTGCTGGGTGACGTATTGCTTTGGCTTGATCCGGAGATGTTTGTTGGCCTTCCAGGTGATCACTGGCTCTGGCTTTCCTGTTGCTGAGCAACTGATTTCCAGGACCCTTTCTCCAGCATTGTCTGGATCAATAACATGCTTCACACTCACTCTAGGTTCTGTGAGAGCTTTGAAACAAAAAAGAATGAAAAAATATTTAGACTTTTGTCCCCAGGAGTAAGCAAAATGCGATTGCTTTCTGATGCTTACTAGTTGGACCAAATGTGGTACCTAGCTTTCTCAGGCCCCTCAAAACAGCAGTATAATATCCAGATAATCTGTTTTGAACTGGATTATCTGGCAGCATCAACTCAGATAATCCGGTTCAAAGCAAATAATGAGGATGATCTGTCTTGTTATTCTGGATTATATGGCAGTGTTGAAGGGCCTTTAGTTCAACATTGCTAGTGAGATGCGGGTTTACACCACACAGCAAGACATCAGGCAAATTTAGGGGTGAAGGCCATTGTTTTAGTTGACTTCCATGCCTTTCTTTTTCCTTTCATGCCACTGTACTACCAGCAATTATTTTAACAAAAATAAGTGAAGTAATAATAATATTTTATTTGTATTTCGCTTTGTCTCCCCAAGAAGCCTCAGGGCTGATCACAGCATACACAAACACAAAGGTAATCATCAAATGCCTAGTTACTATTTTACTTTTGGAAAATGCTGAAAATAAAGAGTTACTTTTTAAAACTGTAAGTACGACAAAAACTAATTGATGCTGGTGAGATTTGTAAACATAACTGTATTTTATTTTTATTTTTTAGTTTAAAGAAATGACAAAGTAACTTTTCAAGCCCTGTACTGTCCATACCAGGTGCTTTCTGTGCAGTTAAAGGGAAGGGTGGTGATACGAAGGGCCCTTCTACACTGTCATATATCCAGAATATCAAGGTAGACAATCCACATTATCTGGTTTAAACTGGATTATCTGAATCCACACTGCTTTATAATTCAGTTCCATGTGGATTTTATCCAACTGTGTGGAAGGGGCCTTAGTATTCCAGGCTATGGATTCATGCTCAGTTTTTCCCTATTTGAGAGGGCATGATAATGATAAAATTATATAAACACCAATCTACTAACCATCTAAATTAAAATTGGAGAACTTTCTTGGTAAACATCAATACATAATTTAAGAAAAGATTTAATGTGAAATAATCTGTTATGAAAAATTAAGTTTAATTTCCATTGAAGAACAACTGGAAAATAATATATCAAGACCAGGAGACAATGTGAGAAGACGTAAGAAGATACAGCCAATGGATTTAAAATTGTTAGAATCCCAATAATTTATTAAATATGTGCTGAAGAAATAAAGATGAAGACTTAGTTGTAACAATGATAATTTTGTAAAAGAACTCCCCATGCCTCAGCAACCCTCACCCTCTTTGTTTTCTCAAGACATACTAGGCATTTGTAAAGATGCAACTAACCAATAATTAATCTATTGTCCCCAAATTTGTCCTTTTCCTTTCCTTGTCCTCCAACTCCCCACTTCCCTAGTAAATGTTTAATAAAAAATATTTAAGAAAAAATAATATAACTTACCATAAACCCTGAGACATGTCTTGGCTGAGATGGCTCCCAAGGGGAATGTGTTGAAGATACAGTCATAACAGCCTTCATCAGTCAAAGCAGCCGTATAGAAGGTGATGGCAGAAATGGTCATGCCACGTTGGAAAAGTTGCACATTACTTTGATATTTCCCCAGCACCCTAGAGCCATGAGATTCACTGTATGTAGCTATGTTGGTTTTGGTTTTTTCATGCTCCTTCTGCCAGGTGACCTGAACAATGTCATGCTTTCCAGCCAACTGGCAACCTAAAGTCACATTGGTTCCAACTGTAACTGTTTGTACAGGCTTGTGAATTACTTGTGCTGCACCTGCAAAAGACATTCATGATGCTAAATGCCTAATATAAAAGAAATAAATTCTACTTTTAGTCCTGACAATATTAGAGACTTTGAATCAACAAGATGTGCCTATAGGGGCCCTTCTACACCTTACAATCTACACCTTATAATCTAGAATATCAATGCAGGTACTCCACATTATCTGCTTTGAATTATCTGGGTCTACACTGCCATATAATCCAGTTCAAAGAAGATAATCTGGATTTTATACAGCTGTGTAGAAGGGGCCTATGTTGACTTGCAATTCAACAATTGGTTCAATGACTTGCCTTTGGTAGGAACAGCCAACAGAATTCCAGCCATTTTTATCAACTGTAATAAGATTCTATGATATAACAATTATCTAGAGAGGAAAAAAATAGTAATCTTTCTCAGGTCTGCCTTGAAAGAACAATCAGATTTAGAAACATTTCCCCTCTATCACTAATTGTGGGGATTCTTGGAGGTTAGAGAAGTGAGAGATAGATATCTTATTCCTCTTGAGAATACGGAATATATCCCAAATATGATCGTCAAGCTTCTATAATTTCACCATTTTATTTATTTATTTATTTATTTATTTATGATATTTTTACTCCACCCTCTCTTACCTGAAAAGGGGATTCAGAACGGCTTCCAAAGTGGCAACAAATCAATGCCACACAAACATATAAATACAATAAGCATATACCTTAAAACCATAAAAGTTAAAGAAATCATAATATCAATACATTAAAAAGAAATTATTAAAACCACACAGATCCATTTTCCAGTCTTAACCTGGTGTTCATCACAAGATTTAAACTTTTCCTCCTTCTTAAGTTTGGTTTGTCGTATTTAAAAAAGAGAACATGTGAAAATGTGTTTGTATTTCAATGCACAATTCTTTGAATGATACTCATGTTTGTTTGCAATTTTGTCTAATATACACATTTTACCATTTTATTTACTATACATATATTAACAATTTTCATGATATAATTGACTATAATTTTACTTCCACTGCATTTCTATTTCCTAGTATATCAGTTCACAAGTACAGAGTTTGGTAATTGTACATGAAAATATAAATCAAATAATTTTGTTCCACAATTCTTAGTCCAGGTATATATTCCACTTTCTCCTTCACTGCGGTTGCTTCAGTGATCTGTTTTTACACTGCATCTCAGCAGTAGCAAAACCTTTTATCAGTTGTGGGGGTTGAACTGATGGCCCTTGTGGTCTCTTCCAGTTCTATGATTCTAAATCCAATCAGGTCAGAGCTACGTAAGACTTTGATGCTACTATACTGCTACCCTACACTCCCTAAATTGTTCAATCTGCAACTTTTAACACAATTCCATCAAGAAAGGAAAATGTCATTTTCTCTTGACATAAACTTGTGCCATAGAATCATCCCACAACTAGAATCCTTTTTGGCAGCATCTTTATGGTGGCTTTGTCCATAAAACTAATATTCTATCTAAGGAACCAGCTGCTTAGCAAGTGAATTACTCACCTATCACATCAGTCCAGTAGATGCAGACAAAAAAGGATGTGAAGAACATCTTGTTTCTTTGGGACCTTACACGCTAATGACATTTGTTTCTGGCTTTTGATATGTAGCTTTGTTGGTAGGAAGTGTGTCATTTGAGAGAACTTGGGAGGAAGAAAAACTCAAATACTTCCTAAATGTCATGTGACATTCCCAGGGGGTTTTGGCTTTCATGTTAACCTCATCGAAAAGAGGTCCATCTATAGCAGCTAAAAATCCCCAGAGTTTAAACAAATACGTTATAATTACAAACCAAAGAGGTGTGTGTGGGTTTATATTTAACATTGATTTGGCCAGCTTGTGTTTTGAGTTTCATAGTGAGCATTATAGCTGCTGTATTTTTGGGGAAGTAACACAGGTGTACCTATCTAAAAATATCTAAATGGAAGTCCTATCACTAGTCAAACAGCAAGAGAAGCTTTCTACCTGTTTGCTCAGTTGAATTAATTCTATTTTCCATTGCAATTGAACCCATTATAATTTAATATTGGTGGACTTTAGTAGGAAGTAGAATTTTACATAAACTTTCATCAATTTTACAACATCCTGATATGAACAGGAGAAAGTTAAATGTTCTGACATATTTATCAGGACACACATTGTGTTGTCAAAGGCTTTCATGGCAGAAATCACTGAGTTGCTGTGAGTTTTCCAGGCTGTATCGCCATTTTCCAGAAGCATTCTCTCCTGACATTTTACCTACATCTATGGCAGGCATCATCAAAAGTTATGAGGTCTGTTGGAAGCTAGGCTAATGAAGTTCCACAGATATATAAACCTCACTTGCCTAACTTCCAACAGACCTCACAACCTCTGAGGATGCCTGCCATAGATGTGGGTAAAACGTCAAGAGAGAATGCTTCAGAAACATGCCTGGAAAACTCACAGCAAGGTTTTCGGGTCAGCTTTATTTTCTCTCAGCCTGACCTAGTTCAGAGGCGTTGTATGAGGGGAATGTCAGGAAGAAGAGAGGCAGGCTTATATCTTCTGCTTATTGTAAGAAAACCAATATATAAAAATAAATATGTAAAAAAAATAATCTGACTAGGCTCCAGGTTGCACATGGAAGGAATACCTCATATTGGGTTGGGTTTATGCAAGATTGTCAAAGTGTTTGTAACTGGGCTTCTCATCTATCATACATATCTTTTAAACCCTTTGTTCATATGTAGTGTGTCTATGTGTTATCTGTCAATTTATGGCAATCCCAAGAATTCTATAGGGCTCTCCTAAACAAGGCCTACTCAGATGTGGTTTAACACTGCCTTCCTCTGAAATGTAGCTTTGCTTTAAAACCCGTAGTGAAGAGTAAACCTAAAGATATGAGAGGCAGACAGGCAATTCTGCCAGGATTGGCACTGATAAGAAACTCTCTTTGGGAAGAGGAATCTTTCCCCTGTCTCAGGAATGAGCAGGAGGAGGAAGGGGATTACCAGTCTTGTGAACAGTACCTTGTAACTTCCCAGAGGCCCATCCTGTTAAGGTAATCAACCTGAGCCTTTGCTCTTGTACATATTAACAGTGTAGAACAGTTTGAAATTACTTTAACTTTCATGGCTATTCTGAGGGTTGTAGTTTAAGGAAGAATCCACTATTATTTGGCAGAGAAGAATAAATACCTTGCACATCTACAACTTTTGTGGTTTCATAGCCTTGAGCTATGGCAATTAAAGTGATGCCAAACTGCATAAATTCTTCAATATAAATCTGCCCACATCTTGGGAAGGGAAAATGTTGGTGCCTTTTCCAAGAACTTGAAGGCCTAATTGGAGTTGGATTCAGAAATAAGGCTTCATCAGCACTTGACACCGTGTCAATGTGCAACCAAAGGAGTACGAATGCACTTACGACCTCATCATAAAGCCCTGGGAAGTGTTCTGCTTTGCTGGGCTTCTGCCAAAACAAAGTCCATCACATGACACAAGGCCACTTCCAGTGACTGCCCATGGCAGCAGTGCAGTGAAATGAAGGGAAGACTCCATTTTCGGTAGACGGGTTCTACCTGACCTCCCAACTGCAGAAATTGCAGAGAAGGTACGGAAAGGATGTGAGAGATAGATAGATAGATAGATAGATAGATAGATAGATAGATAGATAGATGATAGATAGATAGAGAAAGAGATAGAGAGATAGATAGAGATAGAGATAGACAACCACTTACAGAATTTTCCAGCCTGCAAGACCAGTGAGAATTCTGAGATCTGTGTTCAAAAATTAACCTTTCCCAAGTTTTGCAATGGGCTCAATTTTTTCTTTTTCTTTCAAACCACCCAGAAAAATTTGGTAATACAAGAAGTCAAAAGACAATGTGTTCATTTTATCCCAGCTACTAATTTATCTTTCTCTGAAACCAAATGTTGTGAATTTACAATATGGACTATAAAAAGAAACATCCAGTTTCCTGCCAAAGTTTCCTGCTCTGATGTACTGGAAGGCTCAAGGATTTAGATTGCCTTTATAAGAGCAGTATGTCACGACTCCTTAACTGAATTATGTAAATATTGGCAGGGCTTCCATTAATGTAGTTCCAGGAAGATGGTTGTTTTAATTTTTTTACAAGATGTTTTATTGGTTTTGGTCCACTGAAACAAATGTTTTCTGAATGAAAAAAATATACCTAATCAAGTGACATGTTTTACTATTGTGTTATTCAGTACATGTTTCTTGCACTAGTTCTCAGAAAGATGGAATATTTATTTAGAAATAATATGATTCATATTAGTAAATAAAGCCCATGATGGATGCTACTATCTCATGATGTCACAAAAAGTCCAAAACATACCAGCTCTTATTTCCCCCCTCCTTTACTAAAAACAAATCCAAGGCTTTATAAGATCCTGTAAACTGCATTTCAAGAAGTGACATGATTCATTTCTTACTTTCTTCTTCTTCTTCTTCTTTTAGTGACACCCTTGCTTGTAATGTAAAGAAGGGAAATTCCTTACAAGGCAGTTCTACTATACTTTACTTTGCTTGGTTAATGACTGTACTTTGCTATTTTAATGTTTTAGTGCAATTTGGATTATGATGTTTTAATTATTGTTTGTAATATTGTTTGTTGGAAACCGGCCTGAGTCCCTCGATGGAGGTGAGAAGACTGCTAAATAATATAAAATGGTTATTATACCATCTGATAATGTTTTACTTTCAGAATGTTCCTCATAGATGAAGAGAGATGTGCACAGAAGGAAGAAAGAAAAGAGAAATTAGAACTGGGCTGTGGCGCAGATAGTTAGTAGCCAGCTGCATTAAATCACTACTGACCAAGAGATCATGAGTTCGAAGTCAGCCCGAGTTGGAGTGAGCTCCCAACCATTAATAGCTTAGCTTGCTGTTGACATATGCAGTCTGAAAGACAGTTGCATTTGTCAAGTAGGAAATTTAGGGAGGCTATTTTAACTAATTTATGACACCATAAAACCTTTCAGCAGCATGTGTAAGAATGAGGAAGTACTCCATCAAGGACTAGGTGTCACAAGTGGACAGTGAAGAAGCAGCTCCCCCATGGTCGGAATCGAGCATACCCTCATGAAGCTGGAAAGCTGGAATGTTAAATTGCCTCTTTGTCTGTCTATATATGTTATATGTCTATAATGGCATTGAATGTTTGCCATGTATATGTGCATTGTGATCCATCCTGAGTCCCCTGCGGGGTGAGAAGGTCAGAATATAAATACTCTAAATAATAACTGTAAATAAAATAGAAATAAATATGACTGTTGAAGAAAATACGGGAAACAAAGTACAGTCAGCTTTTTTTATTTGGAACTGTTTTCCTTTTAGGTCAGCTATCCAACTTTATGTGGGGAAAAATGTTGGGGCTTCCCACTTCAAGCAAACCACAACCCAAGTCCACCCAAGAGTATTGTCTAAGGCTTTCATGGCCGGATTCACTGGGTTGTTGTGAGTTTTCTGGGCTGTATGGCCATGTTCCAGAAACATTCTCTCCTGACGTTTCACCTGCATTTATGGCCATAGATGCAGGTGAAACATCAGGAGAGAATGCTTTTGGAACATGGCCATACAGCCTGGAAAACCCACAACAACCCTCCCAAGAGTCTTCTTGTAAACTATAACTATAGCAAAAATCATAGTTCTAAATTGGTGCAGGAAAGGACGGTTTTCCTTGCAAATACATTTTCTGTCAATTGATGCTGGTCATACACATAGGATGACATATCCAGTCAGTGGAGGGGGGGGTGCATCTGTATGTTTGAGGGGGAGTATTTTTTGCTACCTGAAAAGCTTCTACCGTCCTCTGCAGTCTTGCAATAGGACTTTTTGTGTAATGAACAATTGACTTCCCTGGCCACACCTGTGTCTAGGTTTGATAATGGAGCAGATGATACAGTAAGGCAGTGGTTCTCAACCTGTGGGTCCCCTGATGTGTTAGCCTTCAACTCCCAGAACAGCTGGTAACTGGCTGGGATTTCTAGGAGTTGTAGGCCAAAACACCTGGGGACCCACAGGTTGAGAACCACTGCAGTAAGGGAAATCCATCACAGAATAGCCAAAGAGGCAGTATGAGAATATCTAGCTAATCTAAATGAATTCAAGTCCCCAGGATCATATGAATTGCTTCCAAAAATATTAAAAGAACTGGCAGAAGTAAGTTCAGAACCACTGACAATCAGCTTTGAGAATTCCTGAAAAACAGGAGGTTCCAGCAGACTGGAGAAAAACAAATGTTGTTCCCATCTTCAAAAAGGGAGGGGGGGGGAAGGGCCCAAACCACTACCACCCAATCAGCTTGACATCAAAACCAGGAATGACTCTAGAGCAGATCATGAAACAGACAATCTGTGATGACTCATGAATTATGTGTAAAACTAGACTCTTGACTGGGAAGCCTCATAATGCAATGACTCAGGCAATATTATTGAACGGTTTCACTTTGTGTTGTGGAAAAATATGCCCCTATCCTTTTGGAGGAATATTTATTGCTCAGCATAGCTTATAGCTGCTAGAATAACACATTTGCATGCATATTTTTAAAAGAATATTGTATATACTCGAGTATAAGCCTAGTTTTTCAGTCCTTTTTTTAGGCTGAAAAAGTCTCCCCCGGCTTATACTCGAGTCAAGGTTATTTATTATTTTACTTTGTTGTCATTATTACATTTATTATTTTATTATTGTTGTTATTATTACATTTATTGTTTTACTTTATTTATTATTGTTATTGTTACATTTATTATTTTACTGTATTATTATTATTATTACATTTATTATTTTACTCTATTATTATTATTATTACATTTATTATTTTACTGTATTATTACTGTTATTATTACAGTCCATTATTTTACTCTATTATTATTATTATTATTATTATTATTATACTCTATTTATTATTACTGGAGGACATGTAAGCATATTTACATTGAAGAAGATTAGAATAATGGTTTAATCAGAGTTGGACAGTCTTATCTTGAATTAGAGTTTTATGTAAATATTCAAAAACATTTAACCCACTGATGCCCAAATTAATATAATTTTATTTGTAGCTGCTGCATTTCCCACCCTTGGCTTATATTCAAGTCAATCCATTTTCCCAGTTTTTTGTGGTAAAATTAGGTGCCTCAGCTTATATTCGGGTCGGCTTATACTCGAGTATGTACGGTACATAACATCCAATACAAAATGGAGACAGACTCCATAGATGGAAGTAAAAAATGTTCAACAAGGAAAAGCATGTTGTAAAAGGATAGTCTTCATCATAGTAAGGAGGGAATGGGAGTTTTGTGGATGCCATAATACACGTCTGGATGTAGCCTTTTCTTTTGTCCCATCCTAATAGCTAAAATGTTAATTCTGATTAGAGTAGTTCCAATGAATAATTTGTTCATTTGTGTTTGCCTGCCTATTGACTCACCAGGCCATTAGAAGATACTGAGTGTCAGATATCAATGAAAGCAGCATTTAACACTGCTGATCTCAGTAGAAATTGGTCAGACTTCCTCCAGCTTCCCAAAGGAATGTTACAAGATCTTGCTGTTACCAGGAAATTTCTTGAACCTGTCTTTTCAGTATTATGAGACTGCACTACAAACACTTATAAAACAACTTGAGACATTTTGATTCCAGTGTGACACTGAGTTACCAGAGTGTGTGTGTTTCAACCATAATTAATTTGTTTGAAACCCCTAGTCATTAGATGTTAATGACTTCACTAGGCATCTCTAAATAAAACTACAGGGTGCAGTAAAATACTGCTATTGGTCTAAACGTTTTGAAATAAATGTATTCTATATGGCTCTGGTTCAGGTAATCTGATGGACCATATCTTCCTATATGAACCTTTGCATATCATGGGGTCTTATGGAGAGGCCCTTCCCTCTGTCCTACTATCCTCACAGATACATCTGGTAGGACCATGAGAAAGGGTCTTCTTAGTGGCTGCCCCTTTGGTAAGGAATGACTTTTCAGGGGCAAAGGAATTTTTATGTAGTGTTTATGTTTATTGTTCTTTTTAAAGGCTTGCTTTTTAAGTTTTGATTATATTGATAATTTAATTGTATTCTTCACATTTGTATGGCTTTTTTTAGCTATTTTGATTTCAAATTTTGAGAGCCACCTGTTGTTGGTATCATCATCATAGGCAAAGGTAGAGTTGTTGTCACTGCGGTTATCATTATTCAAATCAGTGGCAAAACTGTAATTAATTCCAAGAGCCATGAAATGCATGCTATGTTTTAATCTTCCCGTTATGGCATGTGTGGTCTTTCCCAATGGTGTGAAAAACAAATTGCTCCTGTTTGACGTTTTGCTTTTGGCACCAATGCCTTGGTAGGTGAGAGATGCAGGGAAGATATAATTCAAGTCCAAATTATGGTGACATACATACATATTTACAAAGGAAATAATAGCTCTTAAAATATACAAACTTTATCAGCTGACAGGTATGGGTGAAGAAGTCTTTAGAAAACCCCTTCTCTGAACCTGAGTGTTTGTATTAGGAGGACATTCCATCATGGGGAAATCCTCTCAAAGCACATTTATCAGAAGCTGGGTTTTTTTTTTCAATGTTTTAACAACAGAAGAAATATTTGAAGTCCCCTTTCCATAACTGCTCTATTCCATTATTTCCCCATTACAATCATCACAGTTTTTATAAACCTGTGTGTTAGATAGCTGAGAAATTCTGTTGCTTACAGGATAAAGACTGGGCTGTCAAAGTAAAAACTGGAGAAGGCTCCTGTCCATGCAATGGTTCTGTAAAAGAGGAAACTACAACTATATATGATGGAGGCTCCTTCTTTGGAAGCTTTTAAACAGAGGCTGGATGGCCATCTGTCAGGGGTGATTTGAATGCAATATACCTACTTCTGGCCAGGGGGTTGGACTGGATGGCCCATGAGGTCTCTTCCAACTCTTTGATTCTATGATTCTATGACTCTATGATTCTATATCAAGTTTCCACTCAGACACCCCTATATAAAAAGCAAAAGCATGAAAACCGTCTCAGGATTATCCCATATTATATGACTGTGGAGACTAATATAATCCAGTTCAAAGCACATAATCTGGGATCAGATCCTATTAAATAAGAACAATATAGAAGGGGCCTTAGTGAAGATGGATAGGGATCAAACTACCAGACAAGAATTGGGGGCAAGGGGAGCACTGTTTTTTCTCTCTAATGGACTTTCAAAAAAATATCTGAATACATATGTGACTCTAGTAAGGTCAAAACATTACAGGAATTATTTCTTGATTTCTCTTTACTCAGTTTGCAGGAATGGAAAGTCACTGAGGACCTCTTCACAAGGCCCACAGAGGCCATGCTGTTGCACCAGCAGTCACTGGTAAAAGGAAAGGCCTCGGAGTGCTCCTCACACTCTCACTCCTTCCCCATCACATGGTGGGGATGGGACAGGGCGTGTTGGCACCCTGTCCCTTTCCCCATTAGATGGGGGAAAGGACAGCAATGTGCATTGCCCTGCCGCCCTTTCCCTCATCAGATGGGAAAGAGGAGGAAAGTGCAAGTAGCTTTATATGAGCTACCTGAAAACACCAAAGCTATAATGATTAATTGTTCTTATCCTTATTGCTCTATATGATATATCCACTTTACTCACTTACGCTATCCTCTATTCTTGTCACACTAGTCTGCCCACCCACGATGAGACATTGAATGTTGCTATTGGTTGTTTGTTTTCATGTTTGTTCTATATATTGCTTAATGTTGTTGTTCTTATTTTGTTTTATATATTTTTTTGCTGTTAATTATTGTTATGCATTTTAATGTGTTATGTTTTAACTGTATTGCTGAGCTTGGCCCCATGTAAGTCACCCTGAGTCCCTTCAGGGAGATGGAGGTGGAATATAAAAATAAAGTTATATTATTATTTCCTCCCCTTGGTGGAGAAGGAAGCACTTTCTGGAGTTTCCCCTCCACTTCAGGAGGAATGTGGGCAGGTCCTGTAGTCCGTCATCTGATGTCCTACTGCAGGCCCTGTTCAAGCCGTGGCTAAAAGCAGCAAAACGGGGCTATTTTGTCCCATATGAAGAGGTCCTGAGTTACAAACATTCAACATACAAATGGCTCATAGTTAAGAACAGGTGGTGAGACTACAGGAGGCAAGAGAAATATTCCCCTAGGAAGCGAAATTCAGTCCTGAAAGAGTTATCATGGGGAAAAGGAGTCTCCACTGAAGCTTTATCACCAGTCCTTGTTTCCACAAGCCACATTAAAAAAAAATCCGATCATCACAGGAACATACCGTGAGGTGAAATCTTCTGAACAGGGGCAAAGACAGCAAAACATTATCTTACATACAAATTCAACTTAAGAACAGACTTACAGAACCTATCTTGTTCATAACTTGGGACTGCCTGTAATTTGTTTGATCTGTAAGACCCCAGATCTGAGCATGCGTCAACTTTTCTAACAAAACAATATTGCCTCCTTACCAGGAGGTGGTGCAAGAAACCATAACTTATATGCTTCACATTTTAAAGCAATTTGAGTAGAAAATCTTCCTGATGTTGCTCTTAGGTTCTGGAATGACTTCTAGCCAATTTCTGAAGTAGCCAGAAAAGCCATTTATACACAAGTCTTAGTTTTGTTGTTGTAGTATTTATTATACAAAAAGTATTACTTTCCAAAACATTAAAAAGCAAAAATATATACAAACAAAAAGAAAAAAAGGGAAAAAATACCAAGAGAAAGAACAGCCAAGAACAGAAAGAAAGGAAATTATGTTTGATATTCGATATGTCTAACAGAAAGTATAAAAAGTATAAAATAAGCTGTCCAACTGCAAGAAAGATTCATACACTTCTTTCCCTTAACCAGATCTATTAATTATAAAATATATTTAACATATTATTTGTTTTTCTACAAAAGCACAGCCAAAGGTTCCTAGTCTTTTGAAAATGCCATTTTTTTTTCAAATCAGTATTGCTAATTTGTCAATTTCAACAACGTCAGCCACTTACAAGAAGCAGCCATCACTCTTTGTTTTACCCCATTTTTGTGCAAACACTAAGTCTTGCTACAGTGTGTACATATATGGTAGAGGTCTTCCGTGTTTCTTTTCCATTTGGTCATCCATCAGTCCCAGCAAGATCTTCTGTAATGAACTGTGTATACATCTCTCAAACTATGTTGTCATTAATGCTGTAAGTTAGCATTGAGTTATGACAACCCTACAAGTGGGAAATGCATGCAGAACACCCAAGATTCCCAGCCATTGATTGCCTTGTTTGCTTTTGCAAACTTGGGGCTGTGGCTTCCTTTATTGAATCAGTTCACCTATAATGCAGTCTCAGTCCCCCTCCCCTCTCTCTTCATATTGCCTTTCACTTGATTTTGTTGTCTTTTCCAACAAGTCATGTTGTCTCATGATTGCCCCAAGTTTGAAAACTTCATTTGAGTCATCTAGAGACATAATTTGCTCTAAGACCCATTCATTAGTCTTTTCAGTAGTCCACGGTATCTGTGGAACGCTCTTCCAGCATCCTAATTCAAATGAGTTGAATTTCCTCCTGTCAATTTGCTGATAGTGTTTAACTAGTTATTTTCCTTGCTAAGGTGACATTTAGGAGATAGCCATTCTCTGTTTTCCTTTACTTCTTGCTTCTTCGGCGTACCATCCAGTCAAAGTAAGATCGAGTGTTAACAATCAGCCAAGTAAAGAAGACAAGTACAGGATGTTTCTTACATTCATTATAGTGTGTGTTCAAATTTCTTGTAATGGCAGCAGAGGGGGGAAATGAGAAAAGCAAATATAAATAGCTAGTATACTGTCAGCACATTTCTACCACTGCAAAGGGAAAGTGAAGCAGCAGCAGGCACGCAGGAGCAAGTTGATACTTGACACTGAAGGCCGTTCTACAGACCTGTGTTATTAACCTACAATGCATATTTGTTTCTCTTTTACTACACATAGCTTAGTAGTATAATGAAAATCTTGGAAACACCCTTTTACTGAAGAAACAAAGTTAACACAGAATGGCATTTATGCTCACAAGAATCAGCTCAAGGCCAAATGGGACTTTTATGTGTTTGTTTTCTGGAATTTTCCCTTTGTTTTAGCATTTAACCACCATCAGTTGTGGTCTCAGGACAGTTTGAAGAGCTTCTTATCTTGACTATGCCTCATGTTCTCACTCACAGCCTGATGTGCTCATATTTTCCTGGGGTGGTGGGTTGATGTAAGAAGGACAAGAACACACTGGATATGTTGAACAGAATGTTGTCTTCCAAGATGAGACCAGAAATCCAGAACTCCATACAGTTCACCCATCTGTATTAACAGGCTGTATTTCTTTAGGGTAAAAACAGGGGTGTGAGACATTTTATTGAGATATTTTTCCTTATTTATCTTTGTTATATCTATCATAAAACCACATAAAATCACTGCCTGTGACTGGATCAAGTAGAAGGTTATTATTATATATTCTTTTTATGCATTGCCATATTTAAAATGGTAATTATAGTAATCTTATGTATATCCTGCCTTTCTTCCATCACAAGATTCAGGTTGACTCCCAGTACCCTTAGGAAGTTTGTGTCTCCTATTCCCCAAAGCTGGATTGGGAGAATTTTCCGTTCATCTGATATCTGACAGCTTTCTACAGAAAGGGGCCTAGCTTGCAGTGGGAGGATACGTACCTCTCCTAAAATATTCCTTCACTTCCCAAATATCTAGCATTGCAGTCAGTTTACAGTAAATGCCAGTGGAGCATTTAGAAACACAGTTTAGGCACACACAAAAGGTGGCAGGCAAAGTTACCAAGGGAGTGCAAATATACAAAAATAAAAGGTGTGAACAATGTTTAGTGTTTCATTTCTGCAGTGCTAGAAGGAAATTCCATTTGATTTGGCAGACTTATTATTTGGAGGCAATGCCTTAATCTCCCCTCCCACAGTATCACACCTGGTAGTAAAGGGGGATGATGATGATGATGATGATGATGATGATAATAATAATAATAATAATAATAATAACTTTATTTTTATACCCTACCACCATCTCTCTGAAGAGACTCGGGCTGGCTTACATGTGGGACCAAGCCCAGAGCAACAACTGAGTTTACCACCTAAAACATAGTTAAAAACATAATAACATATACAAATCTAATTAAACAATTAAAAACAGCAGGGTATAAAACATCGTTAAAATGTATCAAAAGCAAACGTCAACAACTAGTAACCAGGAATATGGTGGACATGATCAGAATTTGAGGGGGCTGGACATGGACTTGTGCAAAAAGCAAACTATACGGCCAGGGCTGGGGGTAAAGTGCTGAGTACAATAGGTCAGGGACATGTGAGGATGGATGGAGGAACACTATGTAAAGTCCCATACTAATCTCTGTCCATACCACAAGGAAGGAAATGTATGCTTGCCTTGGATCTGACATAATGGTAGGTTACATACCTGTGACCATCTTTCTTCGAGTGGTGCTCTGCGAATTCACACTTGTGGAGAGACTGCGCGGGCTCCAACGGAAACTTCTACATTTTAAAACTTTTCAAGTTTTTGCGGTAACCCCGC